GGGGCAGCATCGGGCTGCCCCTCACTCCTCCCAGTTTCCTCCGAAAGAGGCCCCGCTGCAGACTCTTCACATGGACGTGTGGGGCCCGGCCCGCGTCCGTGGACAGGGTCACGAGCGCTACTTCCTGCTGGTGGTTGACGACTACTCGCGTTACACCACAGTCTTCCCCTTGCGCAGCAAGGGTGATGTCACTACGGTGTTGATCGACTGGATCCGCGCAGCTCGTTTCCAGCTCAGGCAGAGCTTCGGCTTGGACTTTCCTGTTCTGCGTCTGCAGTCTGACAGAGGCGGAGAGTTCTCCTCTGGCCTTCTGCGAGCCTACTGTCGTGCACGAGGCATCCTCCAGACCTTCACGCTTCCGGACTCCCACAGCAAAATGGGATTGCTGAGCGCTCCATTGGCATGGTCATGGATGTCGCTCGTACGTCCATGATGCATGCGGCTGCCCCCCATTTTCTGTGGCCGTTTGCGGTTCGGTACGCGGCGGATCAGATCAACCTTCACCCCAGGGTCTCCATGCCGGAGACCTCCCCAGCTTTGCTGTGGACGGGGAAGGTTGGCGATACATCTGCGTTCCGTGTCTGGGGATCTCGGGCGTTTGTTCGCGACTTGTCTGCGGACAAGCTGTCCCCTCGTGCTGCTCCTTGCGTCTTCTTTGGCTTCCCCCCTGACGCGCCAGGGTGGCAGTTCTACCACCCCACCTCTCGCCGTGTTCTGTCCTCCTAGGACGTCACGTTTGACGAGTCGGTCCCCTACTACCGCCTCTTCCCCTACCGCACTCCGTCCCTCCCCGCGCCACCGCTCTTCCTTGTGCCAGGTCCCCCCCCGGTAGACCCCCTCCCCCCTCCGGGTCCTGCCCCTTCAGGTGTGTCCTAGGTAGACGCAGTCGAGCCTGTCGAGGTTGCTGGTGACTCTGGGGCTGCTGAGGGTGCTGAGCCTGGGGGTGCTGACTCTGGGGGTGCTGAGCGTGTGGGTGCTGCGCCTGGGGGTGCTGAGCCTGGGGGTGCTGAGCCTGGGGGTGCTACGCCTGGGGGTTCTGAGCCTTGGTGTGCTACGCATGGAGGTGCTGAGCCTAGAGGTGCGGAGCCTGAGGGAGTTGGGCCTACTCGTGTGGCGTCTGGCGGTGCTGGGCCTGGAAGTTCTCCGAGTGCTTTGTCTCGTCGCAAGCCCCTCTCTCCACAGGAGCTGCGTGAGTGGTTTTCCCGGCGCTGGAGGCGTGCTGCTGGAGCTGGAGGTTCTCCGGCTGCTTAGGGTGCTGGTGCCGCGGGTCCCGGAGGTGCTCGTGCTAGGAGTGCTGGAGCTGCTGAGGGTGTTGGCGCTGAGGCTACTGCTTTCGGTCCTGGAGGCGGTCCTGCTGGGGGTACTACTGGTGCTGCTGGAGGTACTGGAGGTGGAGGTGCTCCTGGCACTGGTGCTGCCGCTGGGGGTGCTGGTGCTATCCCTGCTGTGTCTGGAGCCGCCGCGCGGCCTTGCCCGTACTTCGTTCCGCTCCTTTAGCAGGTTCTTGGTCTCCCGCCTTCTAGTGGTCCTCCTCCTCCCTTAGAGTGTCCAGAGCCTGTCCCGTCACACTTACAGTTACAGCCGTCCTCCCCACTGCCTGCTCCTTCTCCCTACACTGGTCCTACTGGAGGTCTTGCTGAGCGTCGTGAGCCTGCGTCTCGCCCTGCGTCGCCTGCCCGTCCTGCTCGCACTAGTGGTCGTGGTTCGCGTCAGCGTCCTCCTCCTGTCCCTGGCACGCACCGGATGTCTCTACGTCCGTCCAGTGCTCCTGTGCGTGCCCCTTTGCCTTCTCCTCCTGAGTCCTCTCTTCCTGCTCTTGCCGACCCGGAGTCGGACTCTCTTCGTGCTGATAGTCCTACTGTCACGCGTCTCCTTGCTACTGTCGTCACTAACCCTTCCTTTGAGTCCAGTGCTGCATCTGCCCTAGTTGCTGAGCTCGTCGACTTTGCCGCTCGCTCTCGTTTAGACTACGCTGCTAGTCTTATCGCTGAGTGTGAGTCTGTCTGTCCTCCGTCCGTTGGGGGTGAGTGTGCCCTTGGCACGGACGTCCTTGAGGACACGTAGGAGGATTTCCAGTGTTTGGCTGTTGCTTGACCTCATCTCGTGTCCGTACTGCTTACCCCTGAGGGAGACCCGGATGCACTTGACATCCCGACTCCGCGCTCTTACGCGGAGGCGATAGAGGGTCCCTACACCTCTTAGTGGCAGGCAGCTATGGACACAGAGATGGCTTCCTGGAAGTCCACAAGCACCTATGTTGACGAGGTTCCCTCGCCTGGGGCGAACATCGTCAGTGGCATGTGGATTTTCAGGGTGAAGCGGCCGCGGGGTTCTCCGCCTATCTTGAAGGCGCGTTACGTGGCTCGTGGCTTCAGTCAGCGGCAGGGAGTTGACTACTTTCCGACCTTCTCTCCCACCCCGAAGATGACCACTCTTTGGGTACTGCTGCACATAGCTGCTCACCACGACTACGAGCTGCACTCTCTTGACATCAGCACTGCTTTCTTGCACGGCAGTCTGCACGAGGAGATCTGGCTGCGTCGCCCACCTGGCTTCACTGGGTCTTTTCCCCCTGGCACCCTGTGGAGCCTCCGGCGGCCAGTCTACGGTCTCCGCCAGGCACCGCGTGAGTGGCACGACACACTAAGGACTACGCTTGCGGCTCTTGGGTTTGCTCCGTCTACTGCCGACCCGTCGCTGTTTCTGCACACCGACACTTCTTTGCCGCCGTTCTACATCCTCGTGTACGTCGATGACTTGGTCTTTGCCACAGCTAACACTGCTAGACTTGCCCACGTTAAGTCTGAGCTGCAGAAGAGACACTCGTGCACAGACCTGGGTGAACTGCGCAGCTACCTTGGCTTGCAGATCACCCGGGACAGAGCACGCCGCACCATTACCCTGACTCAGTCACACATGGTGCAGCAGGTCCTTCAGCGCTTCAGCTTCACGTACTCCTCGCCTTAGGCCAGTCCTCTGCCTACTCGCCACTCGCTCTCAGCTCTGCCTTCGGATGAGTCCGTAGAGTCGAGTGGCCCGTACCCAGAGCTTGTTGGCTGCCTCATGTACCTGATGACCTGCACTCGACCTGACCTTGCATACCCTCTTAGCATTCTTGCACGCTATATTGCTCCTGGTAGACACAGACCGGAGCACATGGCTGCAGCGAAGAGGGTGTTGCGCTACTTGTGCAGTACGTCGAGCATGGGGCTTGTGCTTGGAGGGCAGAGTCCAGTGGTCCTCACTAGGCACGCAGATGCTTCTTGGGCTGACGACCAGGCTACGCAACGGTCGTCATAGGATTACACCTTCAGCCTTGGTTCCGGCTCTGTTTCGTGGCGGGCTACCCGCTCGTCTTCTGTTCTCGGCTCCAGTTGTGAGGCTGAGATCTACGCTGGGGCCATGGCTGCACAGGAGCTTCGCTGGCTCACCTACCTACTGACTGACCTCGGAGAGCCGCCTCGTTCTCCTCCACTGCTGTACGTAGACAACAAGGCCATGCTGGCCTTGTGTCGAAAGCAGAGACTGGAGCACAGAACGAAGCACATTGCTCTCCGCTACTTCCTTGCTCGTGAGCTGCAGCAGCGAGGCCAGCTGCATCTTGCGTACGTGGCCTCTGAGGCCAACACTGCTGATATCTTCACCAAGGCGCTTGCGCCTTGTGATCATCAGCGCTTGAGTACTCAGCTGGGTCTTGTGCCTGCCTTGCCTCACTTGCTCACCTCTTGACCTTGCTTGTACTGTTACGTATATATATACACCGGCTCTTGCTTGTCTAGCCTTTTATATATAAATGTACTCCTGCATGTGAACTGTCCTTGTGGCCTTGACCTTGTGCTCGGAATCTGTGGTGACTTTGTGATCCACCCTGAGCTTGCTTTGCTTTGCTTTGCTTGACTGGTCTTGTGACCCCTTGTACTCCCCACTTTGCCTATGGGGGTGTGTCAGATTTATATGACATAGCTACTGTAGGCTATAGTGGGGTAGCACATATGGGGTACAGGTTTATGGGGTTTCTACTTGTACCCAACTTTCCTTTAGTCATTCCATTCTCGTTTTCTTTTCTCAAGCGTCTCCTAGGTGCTAAGGTGCGTGAGTCCCTTCGAGTGAAAAATCAAAAGTTGATTTCCTGGGGTGCGGAGATGCGTGGTCCGAAAGAAAAGGGCTCTGAATACTTAGTGTTACGGGTGCAATGAATCGAAGTAGCGAGAATTGCACTAAGGTGTCAAAACAAGTACAAAGATGTGAGCAAAGGCATGAGCGAACATTTATATGCGAAGCATGTAAACGGTAACGCGGTGCGTGCGAGCTAGCTAGTGCTATGCTTGCAGCGAGGCTCGGGCTAGTCCCAAAGCGTAGGCCGACACGGCCGGGCCAGCAGTGCGAGGTTTGGCAAAACAGTGCGGGCGAAGTTGGCGAAGTCCCGTTAGTAGTAACGGGCGAACAATGGTTGTTGCTGTACGCGATGTAGTCGGGCTCCGTAAGGAATGCCGAGAAAATTCCTTACAACTGCACACCATGTGATGCAGCCACTGAAGTGGTTTGTTCATTGCACCAACCCTGATTGTATGTCACACTCCCTGCGTGAAAAATCCCCTCAAGGACAACATTTCGTTCAATACTGTGCTCTCAGTCGAAATCTGTGCCAGCAGCGCAAGACACCTCGTCAGTGATTCCTCACAAGAAGGCCGTCGCTGACAAGTCATGTACCCGAAATCCTCACAAGGCAGGCGCTCTCTCAGGGCGCTTGCTCATTGCACCACACCGCACCACACCATATTCATCATCTCATCAAATCAGGTTCTGCTGTTGATGATGATGAAACATTCAAGTCCGCTGCAGCCTTACCCTCCTCCTCTGAGAACTCCATATTCAGCAGCTCCAGGTTCTCGTCTATAGTCCTCTCGATCTTATCACTCACAATCTTGGCATCCACTCTTGCTGCTCTCGAGGCAACTCTTGTCCCCCCCTCCCACCTCAGCCCTCAGGGCTTCTAGGTCCTAGGCCACTCGCAACATGGAGGGGCGCGAGGCAGTGGGCATGGCGGTGCAGCTGATGGCGAGCTTGGCAAGGCGTGTGACAATGTCCTCCGGTGCTGCCATGCGCGAGTCCCCGAGACTCGAGGATTTTCCCGCTGATAGGATGTCGCTCGCCTGTGGCGTTGGCCGTGGGGGGAGCGGAGGGCGGGAAGAGTGGGGAAGGGGGTAGGTGGGTGGAAGAGAAGTTGGGCAAGGAAGAGTGGAGACGCTTGAGAGGTTGACATATGGTGAAAGCACTAGGACAATCCTAGAAGAGAAGCAGAGTGGAATGTAGGGTGATGTGAGAAGCTGCTACAACTAGGGCTGGGAGGATGAGGGGTTTCTGGAACAATGGGACGAGCAAGCTGCAGAGAGGGAGAGAGAGAGAGAGAGAGAGAGAGAGAGAGAGAGAGAGAGAGAGAGAGAGAGAGAGAGAGAGAGAGAGAGAGAGAGTGCACCCATTTGATAATGGTCATGGGCTCGCGATCTTCATGCGTGGTGGCTTGATTCGAATTGACTCAAACAATGAGTCACGCGGACACACAGGGAGGTGCACACAGGGAGGTGCACACAGGGAGTCCATGCTTCCCCACCCTCCCCACCTCCCCCCCTTCTCACACACATCATCATCATATTGCCATAGGCGTCGCACTCAACGCCATACACTGCACCGCACTCGCCCCCTGTGTCCCACCCAGTCAGACTTATCGCCCACTGCTGCTGACACTCTTCCAGCACCGCCACTGCAGGGGAGGAGGGAGCGACAGGGGAAGTAACCATTGAGACGTTTAAGAAGAGTGGCACACTCACCCATGTAGCAGCACTATATCGCCCACTGCTGCTCGCACTCTGCCAGCACCGCCACTGCGGAGAGGAGAGGAGGGGGGCGATAACTCTGAGTCGTCTCAGAGGAGTGGCGCATGCATCCATGCTACAGAGGAGTGGCACCCTATCACGGCCCACTTATTCTGACCCTCTCGACCAGCGCAGACCGTTGCTGAGAGGAGCCACGAGGGGAGGCCGGGAGCATGTGAGCAGGCGCTGGGGAATGGTTGTTGGGAACTCGGAGCAAGACCGGGAGGAGGCGGGAGGGTGAAGGTGGAAAATGCGAGCAGGCGCAAAGGAGTGCGCGAATGGTAGCATTGGCAACAGGTGGGGGTTTGGAAGGTGGGGAGTGGATAGATGGGGGTATGCGAGCGTAGACGGGAGGAAATGAGAAGGGCGAGGAATGGAGACGTCGAAAACTAGCGGTTGAGGGAGTGTGGTGGTGACCAGGCGCGAGAAAAGGTTCAACTCTGAAGTGGGGCAATAGGAAGGAGAGGGTGGGTGTGAGAGAGTTCCAACGGACACGTACCCACCCTTGAAAGCCTAGAGACAAGCACAGGCGATGCATGGCAATGGGCGAGCGGACATGCGTGCCAGGATAGTAGTACTAGCGCTAGAAGGAGTCAGCGAGTGAACCAATTTCTCTGGCGCGTGGCTACAACTGGGAATCATGATCGTCGCCGTCGCCGTCGTCGTCGCCGTCGTCGCCGTCTCCGTCGTCATCAACCCAGCGAGGCAATTGACCGGCGAGACGGGGACTGACCTTGCGACGGGGCGAGATTCAGAATGGCTGTAACGCATAACCTACTCTGCCTCATCTACCGCTAACTTCCTAAGTCAACATCGAGAGACTTCCTCGATGAGAAATGACGTGAAGGCAATCGGGAAGGTTTAGTTGGAGAAGAACATTGGTTTGGTTTTCCCAATCCTCAACCTTGAGGCTTGGAAACTTCCAACCCATCAAAGTGAAGATGGGAAAGGTTGGATTTCCAACCAATCAAGTTGTGCCAGTTGTTGTTACAATCCACACAAACTTAAAACAGCCATACAATTGTGCTAAGTTGGGTTTTTCCAACCAAACTAAATTGCCACCTAGGCTCCAAGCCTATTAGCTCCCCAACCATGGAAGCCATGGTTGGGAAAAGCCCCAAGGGGTATGATGGAAGGGGTTGGAGCTCTCAAGCTCATTCCCACTTCCCAACTCCAACAATCTAACTTGGAAATGGGATTTTCACTCTAAGTCTTTTGGGTTCTCCTAATAAGCTCCCCTACACAACTAGACTTGTGATTTTTCAAGGACAAGCTCTACAAGAAACTCCTACCTACTTATTAAAGCTTCATCAACCTTCTTCAAGCTCCCTTTCTCCTCTCAAGCTTGAGGAGTACTATCAAGGCTAAATTACCCCTTGGTGGGATTAGTTAATCTTGAAAGCCTTGTATCTTGATTTTATAAATGTTGTCAAGGGTGATTTATATTTAACACACGGTTGCCCGTTGTTATAAGGGTCGTGATTGTTACAACGGCCATGGTCGTTGCTACGCTACACGCCATCGCCAGCACGCCGAGCATTGCCGCGGCGGGGAGTACCGCGACGCGATGCGACACTTCCATTTGTATCAGTCGAAGATTGAGCAAGACGATCAGACGGTGCTCTGATGAGGAAGATCCAGATCGGACTCGAATGTCAGAATGTTATCTTATGCTCTAGCCTGTAGTGGGGTGCTCTATAGCGAGTACAACCCTTCTAGGGTTTGCTATTTGTATCCCCATTCTTACTAGTGCAACCCTCTTCTCTCTTCTCTCTTCTAACTTTTTCATGCTATCAGAGCAGGTCGATCCCCTTGGATCGATCCTGTGGGTGGGCTTACCACCTCCTAGCTTCCGCTGCAACTCCTACCACTACACTCTGAGCTGCACGCCCCGTGGCGTGCGGCACTTTTTATTCCCGCCGTGCGCCCCGAGGCGCGCGGCGGTTTTCGGCCCGCCGTGCGCCCCGAGGCGCGCGGCGGTTCTCTGCCCGCTAAGCGCCCCGAGGCGCGCGGCGGGGTTCTGCCCCGTCGTTCGCCGCGTCGCCCTCTGGAGGCGCCGCGACGGGCGACGGGGACTCGTCTCGGCGCACCGAGGGCACGTGCACCGGCCCCGTCGCCCGTCCCCGTCGACCTGCGTGCGCCTCCCCGTCGCCCTTCGCGGCGGCCCCGTCGTCCCGTGCGCGGCTCCCCGTCGCCCTTCGCGGCGGCCCCGTCGACCCGCGCGCGGCTCCCCGTCACCCTTCGCGGCGGCCCCGTCGACCCGCGCGCGGCTCCTCGTCGCCCTTCGCGGCGGCCCTGTCGACCCGCGCGCCGCCCCTGGGGACCCGTGCACCCGTCCCCGTCGACCCGCGCACCGCCCTGCGGCCCCCCCTCCCCGCACACTTGAGTTCGATTACCGCACATCCGAGTTCGCTTCCCGCACGCTTGTGCACGCTTCACGCACACCCGAGCTCGCTTACCGCACACTCAGGGTATGGGGGTGACGAGTATGGGGGTGATGGTTGTGGGGGTGTCGGTTGTGCGTGCCGTCTCCTTCTCCTCCTCCTCCTTCGTCTCCCACTGCTGCAGCTGTCGCTGAGGGGGGTGGATGTGTGGGAGTCTGGGGTTTAGGGTTTAAGGGGGGTGCGTGTGAGTGGAGCTAGCGGTGTAGCAGCGGGTGCGTGCCAGGGGGAGTGGGATAGTGTGGGGAAGCTGTATGGAGGTTGCCGTCGTGTCGCCAGCAGCACATGTATTCCGGGGAGTTGCTCCGGTAGCCCAGTCGTAGCCAGCTGTCCCAGCCGCCCGTGGGTCCGTTGCTCGTCTGCCGCTACTTTAGCCGCGGGGCCTGTTACTCCAGTATTCCGGGGCGTTGTTCCGGTAGCTGCTGTGCTAGTGTGCCTCCTGTTGCCCGTGTGTCTGCAGCTTCAGCCGTCGCCTCCTATCTCCTCTCCCCTCACTCTCTCTCCTCCTCCTCACTTGCCCGTTGTGACTACCACTAGCTTTGCTCATAATTGTGAACCTTAAACTATTGCTTCTTGAACTTGTGCTCAGAATGTGTGGTGACATTGTGATCCACCCTGAGCTTGTACTGCTTTGCTTGCTCTGCTGATTACACCCCACTTTGGCTATGGGGGTGTGTCAGAATGTTATCTTATGCTCTAACCTGTAGTGGGGTGCTCTATAGCGAGTACAACCCTTCTAGGGTTTGTTATTTGTATCCCCATTCTTGCTAGTGCAACCCTCTTCTCTCTTCTCTCTTCTAACTTTTACATCGGAGTCAAGAGGTTTGCGCGACGGAACACAATTTTGGGATTTTAATTTGGGACACTGTAGGGAATGTGACTAACGGTGACGATCTCGCCAATCGGGCAGCTTGATTGAAGAAGTCGTGGAGTTATCGCTCAGGGCGTAACGAAGCGAGGCAGTGAGTGCACCGTAACCAGCAAGGCCCTAGACATACTTTAACGAACACTCAGCAGTTATGAGGCTCTGCAGTTTAGCCAATTTGAGTAGCACTGCATACTGACGAGTATCCTTACCCTTTCACGGTGTATATTATGAGGCTCTGCAGTTTAGCCGGTTTAGTTTGACCCCGTTGACACTGTGAAAGGGCAAGGATACACGTGCTGCCAGGAAGTGGCCCCTCTTCGCACGCTCGAGGTAGGCATTCGTGGCACGTTTTAGGGAGAGTACATGCCAGCTCCTGACTTCCAAATTTTTCTCAAATTTAGGGCGTGTCCAGCTCGTTCATTTCGGGAAATCTAGTACCTCCTCACGATCCGGGGTTCAAAACTGAACACTGTACCTATAAACGAGAGTGCCTTGCTCGAGTCCACCCTTTCTGTCATTCTGGCGCGCGGACACCATCCCCCCACACAGACTTCAACAGTGCAGGGGCCGTGTGGCAACCAAGGTAAACAGTTCCCTCGTCAACCAAAGCGTTAGAATTTTCGCCAGGCCAACACTTCCACTATAGGTTTTGGCGAGTGTCAGGCGGCACATGCGAAATCAAGCTCGCGATACGATGGGCACTCACTGTAGTGGGCAGGACGCGGCTCTGTACCATTGTTCGATGCGCACGCTGATTCCTGTAACGTGCGTCACACGATTCGAGGTACGTGCAGGGGGTGTGCCGTATCGTGAACGGGAGCTGATCGTGTCTGGCATTTTTGTAAAACTCAGTGTTACAACTCAAATTGTGGTAACTGAAGGGCTTTACGAACAGTAAATGAACGAGCTGGACACCCCCTTAGTCCCAACTCCACTCAAACGGTATAGCTCATTTGAATTTTGCTCACGCGAGGCCTTTACAGGCGTACAGGATATACGCAGCCTGGGTTTCCAAACTTGGACGCTGCTGTGACCTGTCCCAATCTGGGAGCACGTTCGCTGGTTTGACAAACCTAACGTTTCTGGCTCTTATTTGTGGTATGGAAATTCCCCCCCAGCACGAACCCCATCACCGACCTATCGGACGGCAGAGTCTTGGTTCGGGGAAGCTGCGGAACTCCATTTCCCCCTGTCGTGCTCGAGATTCTAGAACCCAGCAGAACCCTGTCATAAGACTTCCTCGGCCAGGAAAAAAAGCGATGCGGGAGGAAGAGGTTTGGTACGTTTCTTCTCGGTGATTTACGGCAAATGTCGAGGACCGCAATTATATGTCGTTCGCGAGAGTGCAAGGGACATTCGTGGGGGGTGGGGGGAAGCAGATGCAAGTCACAGTCTGCGAAGCGAAATATGGGTGGGGAGATTTACTGTAATAGGGTAAGAGAAACAGTATCTGTTGTCACACTAGTCACGCCACACTCGGTATTCAGTATCCGCAAGGCCTGGGGATTAGCCACCCCGTTTACCGCAACGACGTGGAATACGCAAAAGCGTAGATTGCTCCTCTTCAAAGCCGTGTAGTACGCGCGTTTGAAGTCCGTTACTGCCGTCGTTGGAAGGCAAAACGGCACGGCGCGAGCAATTTAAGATATAGCGCCAGTGCAGCCGGCGATCCAGCTTCGAACGGTGCATTCACCGCGACAACGGGCCATTTCGGTTTCGATATTCCCGTCTCGTCGCCTTGGGGTGTCCACGTTGGTGTCCGCGTTCAGTCGCTATGGCGCGGTTGCGTCGCAGCGCGCTCGTAACGGTGCTGCTGCTCGCTGCTCTCGTGGCAGGCAGTCGCTGTGTCTCGGGGCAGAATAACAGCCCGATAGGTACCGGCGCGCTGTGATTTTGATGTGCTGTGCGTGGTACTGTGCTGTGCCGTGTGGTGCTGTGGAGCGGCACGGTGCTGTGCTGTGCTCTGGTGTGCCGTGATGTGCTGTGCGGTGCAATGCGTTCCTCCAATGTGCGAGAGGGAGGGATGAAGGAGGCATGGCCCATGATGTGTGGCATTGCTGCTCTCTCAGGTCCCTTCATCAATATGCTGCACAACCAACATGCCTCCTGCCCACCTTCCCGCCTGCCTTCCACGTATCACGGCGCCTTCCCTGCTTCGCGCCTTCGTGTCTGCTGCATATATGTGTCTGCGTGTGCGTGTTCATGGCTGTGTATGCGCGTGTGCTTCTGTGTGTGCGCGTTCGTGCACGTGCATGTGCATGTGTGTGCATGTGCGCGTGCGTTTGTGTGTGTGTGTGTGTATATGCGAGCGAGCTTGTGTGTGTGCGCGTGTGCGTGCGTGCGTGAATCTGTGTGTGTGTGTGTGCGCGCGTCTGCACGCGTGTATGTGTGTGTGCGTGCTCTTGTGCATGTGTGCACGAGCATGTGTGTGATGTGTATATCGGCTCCGCCATGTCATGCCATGTCATACCATGTCATCCCATGTCATCCCATGTCATCCCATGCCATGCCATGCCATGCCACCCAACCCGACCCCATGCCTTGCCATGCCATGCCATGCCATGCTGCGAGTGCAGAGGGGGTGTTGGGTTCGTTAGCGTCAGGATGGGCCAACGACAACCTAGCATCCATCACATGCGAAACCGCCCCGGATATCCTCCTGTGCAACGACCAGGGGGAAGTGATCTCCATGTAAGCGCAGCCACGCCCATGTCCATCCATGCCCACTCCCCTCCACCCCATGTCCGTGCCAAGCCAGCATGGTGTAAGTATGATCCATGTCACTGCCATGCTATCACTCTGTCTCTGCATGCTATCGCTGTGTCTCTGCATGCAATCGCCTGCAAAATGCCAGGTGACCATTTCAAGCCTGCACTGCTCTCCCTGAAAACCATTGCACCCCACTTCCCTCTTTCTCTCTCAACGTCTCCTCGTGCTGTTGCTGGAGCGGGGAGCAGGCTGCTGGATGGACTATCCAATAGCGCACAGGCCACCATACCTGCAGACATTGCCAACATCACTTCTCTAACCTACCTGTGAGTGTACATCCTCCTTCCTGTTTCTGCTTGACCCTCTCTGCATTCTCCCCGCTTGCGCCTGCCGTGCCCAAGCGACGCCCATGCCCATGCCCATCCCCATGCCCATGCGATGCCTATCCCCATACCGGCACGCTCAGTAATGGGCCACGCCCAGAGGTAGAGGTGTGTCGTGTGGAGCTACGTTTGAGTACCCTTTATATGCATGGTTATCTGCTGCCACCACACTTGCTACTGCTGTTCCTCCTCCTGCTGCTGCTGCTGCTGCTGCTACTGCTGCTGCTGCTGCTTCTGCTGCTGCTTGCTATGGTCCTGGTTATGTTGTGTGGCTGGCTGTCAAGTGTGTGTGTGTGATTGTGAGTGCATGAGCAGGAGTATGGCATACAACTCTCTCACAGGCACCATTCCAGACTCATTCAGCAACCTCGTTCTTCTGCAGTCCCTGTATGCACACACACACACACACACACACACACACGCTGCACGCACGCACACACACACGCACGCACGCACGCACACACACACCCCTCCCCCCCCCCCCAACACACACACACGCTCGCGCGCGCACACCCCACCCACCCAACCACCCCAACACTGCCATGGTCCTGGCAGGGATGTGAGCTGCAACTCGTTACAGCAGCCCATCGATGTTGTCATGACCCTCACCTCTCTCACCTACCTGTTTTGAGTCGACTCAAAATACGACACACGGCGCGCGCCCACACAACCCACCCACCCATCCACCCCAACACTGCCATGGTCCTGGCAGGGATGTGAGCTACAACTCTCTGAAGCAGCCCATTGATGTCGTCATGACCCTCACCTCCCTCACCTACCTGTAAGCACCGCTCTCCTCTTCTCTTGTGCCACGCCCACGCCGCCCAGTGACCCAGTCCATTCCACCTTTGACATGCCTGTTGAGCCTGTGATCAAAGCTGAAGTAGACAGCGTCTGAAGCTGCCATACACATTGGGCTGTGTGCGGTGTGGTGCGGTGCTGTGCGTTGCTGTGCTGTGCTGTGCCGTGCGGTGTGGTGCGGTGCTGTGCTGTGCTGTGCTGTGCGGTGGGGTGCCGTTCTGTGCTGTGCTGGGGGTGGTGGCAGGAACATGAGTTATAACACAATCAGGGCACCATTGTCGCCAGGCATATCCAACCTGCGAGATTTAGAAGTCCTGTACGTGCTCCCCACACACTCCCCACACACCCTACTACCCCGCAGCACATGCAATATACGGCTGCTGCACAATGCCGTCACAGTCACTCACTCATGCATGCTCTGCTTGCTCCTGGCTGCGAGGCACCTCCCTCCCACCCTCTGCACCCGCGCTCCTCTTCCCTCGACAATACACCCACATCACATCACATCAGCCAGAGGTGACTTTTGAGTCGACTCACAAGTCCACCACTCCACCTGCGTCCCTCTTCCCTGTAGACTGCACCCACGTCCGCCTCTGCTCTCCTGCATTTCTTTCTTGACTCAGCTCACAAATCTTGATTAGCCGGGCCTCTGCGCGCATGCTTGCTCATCCACACTGTTACGATTGCGTGTGTGAGCAGGGACTTAACGAGCAACAGACTGGATAAAATCCAGGACCTTTCCGCCCTTACCAAACTCAAACAGATGTGAGGGATGGAGAGACAGACAGAGGGATTGCAGTGGAGCACTGTCGTGTGTGCCATACATACTAGCCTTTGCGTCTCTTACTTGCCATTGTTGTAACGTTCACTCGATACAATGATTAGGACCGTTCGAGAGAGGATGCACTGCACCTGTCACCCTAACACAGGAATCTTGCTTCCCAACTTCTGTGCTGCCTGCGCTGCCTGTGCTGCCTGTGCCACCTGTGCCACCTGTGCCACCTGTGCCACCTGTGCCACCTGTGCTGCCTGTGCTGCCTGTCGTGCCTGTGCTGCCTGTGCTGCCTGTGGGATGGAGATGGAACGTACAGAGTCTTGGAGAGATGCGCGGTGCCCCCTGCGCCGCTGACCACGTTCAGCCCGTTGGTATCACTGGAGTATATGTGCGCCCTGCACACCCTCCTCTTCTCTCCTCTCCTCTCCTCTCCTCTCCACTCCTCTCCTCTCCTCTCCTCTCCTCTCCTCTCCTCTCCTCTCCTCTCCTCTCCTCTCCACTCCTCTCCTCTCCTCTCCTCTCATCTCCTCTTCTCTCCTCTCCTCTCCTCTCCTCTCCCAAGTGTTGCTTGCTTTGTCATGTGGGCCTTGTCTTGCTGGGTCGGGGGTACAAGCTCTCTGGGTAGTGTGAGCGGATGTCACCACTCAACGTCAAGTCTAGGTGAGTCAACGTGTGTGGGAGTCAACATCTAGGGGAGTCAACATCTAGGGAAGTCAACGTGTGTGGGAGTCAACATCTAGGGGAGTCAACGTGTGTGGGAGTCAACATCTAGGGGGTTTCAAGAATCAACTCCCTTGTGTTGTGTGCGTGCACAGAAACGTGTTCAACAACTCGTTTGAAGGCTCGCTTTCTGCCCTCTCAACACTCTCAAAACTCGAGTACATGTGAGAACCTCACTCTACTCCACCACGCCTCACCTCTCCTCACCTCACCTCACCTCACCTCACCTCACCTGCCTGGCACCCGTTTCTCACTGGCCTGTCACCTGCACGCCCCTTCCCTACTCTCTCTCACACCAGCATGTTCCATGACCGCATCACCGTGCCCACCCGACATCGTACCTACCTATCTCTTACCTTGCCCACCTCGCATTTACACATGCCATTCCATGCCATGCCAGCTATTTGGAGCTAGCGACCGCAAATCTCGTATGCCGGATTATGTTTTCCAAATGTGCATGTTGTGTGCCTTCATGTAAACGTTCGAGCCGCAAGCGTGCATGTGTTGTGTGTGTGCATGTGTGCGTGTGCATGTGTGCGTGTGCATGTGTGCGTGTGCATGTGTGCGTGTGCATGTGTGCATGTGCATTTGTGTGTGCGTGTGTGCGTCCATGCATGCATGCATGCGTGCGTGTTGTTCTGTCCACGACAGGCAAGTGGCCTTCAATCAAATAGGACCTGACATACCCGCCACCTTATCCCACCTCTCCAAGGTCACTTTCATGTACGTACAACACGGTGCAGTAAACGCATGGCCTATGGTGCAGCTTCTTACTAGTGTAACAGAGTGGTGCCCACACCCACACGCGCACATGCATACATGCACACACGCGCAAATGCACACATGCACACACGCGCAAATGCACACATGCACACACGCGCAAATGCACACATGCACACACGCGCAAATGCACACATGCAGGCAGGCACGGCACTTGCACATAACCGGGAGGATCCAAATGAAAGTTAGGGTTCCACCCCCTCGCCTCTACCAGCATCTGTCTAGTGTAGCAGAGTGTGGCCCACACCCACATGTGCACACATGCACACATTCTCCCCATTCCTACAGGGATCTCGCGTACAATCGTCTGAGCGGCCCCATCAACCCCCTCACAAACGTCACCTCACTGCAATTCCTGTCAGTATTCATATCTGAGAATCACTTTTGAGAATTCTCTAAAGTCACTGCAATGCCTGTCAGTATTCGTATTTGTGTTGCCTGCTGCTGCAACCCACACTCCTCCACCTCCACCCTCTTTGGATGTGCCCTCCCATCCATCCATCCATCCATGATTAATCCATCCGTCCATCCATCCGTCCATGCATCCATCTAAGTCACCAACGCCCTTGCTCCCTCTGCCTGCCTGCCTGCATGCAGATCATTATACAGCAACGCTGTGTCAGGCTCTTTTCCGGACTCCATCACTCGCCTGTCTCGCCTCACTTTTCTGTGAGCCATGCGTTGCCGTGCATCTTTCATGCGACTGCCATGCATTGCCATGCGTTGCCGTGCATGTTTCATGTGACTGCCATGCATTGCCATGCGACTGCCATGCATGCGGACATAGATGCACGCTTTCTCTGTAGCCCTCTCTATGCTCTTATGCCTTTGAGTGGACTGGACACACCTTGAAACGGCAACTCTGTCATGCACCCGAGCATCACCTCCTTACTTGTGCATTCTACATGCCACCCACCTGACTGGAAAACGCGCACACCCCAGCTTTCATTCCATTCCACCACACTTTTGCTACTGAAATGCCACCACACCACACCATCATCACCACCACCAGTGCCACCACCAGACCATCATCTTTTCAATCAACCGCGTCGTACCCTCCATTCGCCTCATTTTCTGTTTTGCTCATTCATCCGTCCCTCCACGGCCTTGCCACTACACCTCCGGTCAGATCAGCGTGACCAGCTTCACAGGCACCCTATTTTCGAGGCGAGGCACCTTTCAACAAAAGCCTTCGTCCTTCTTCTACCCACCTGCTTGCTTGCCATTGCACCTCTCCAGGCAGATCGGCGAGACCAACTTCACAGGCACCCTTCCTGCATCCCTGGGCCAGATGACAAATCTACGGCATTTGTAAGCTCCGTTCAATCCAAACTGCTGTTGGCGTGCCTGCGCCTCAATTGCCCCTCCAAGGTCTCAAAAAGTCCCCAACGTGTCCAGTTTCCACAAAAGCACATGTGCTAGGCTGCTCTCTTCTTCTGAGTGATTTTTTAGATTTCTTAAAAATCACTCACATGTGCTAGCATGCGCTCTTCTTCCCCTTTTTACCCCCTCCCCCTTCTCCTCCGTTTTCCACCTTCATTTCCATTTCTTCCCTTTTTATTTTTTTCTTTTCCCCTCTCTTCCCTTTCCTTGTCCTTTCTTATCCTTCTGCGCTGCTGTGCTGTCCGTCCCCCCTCCTCTCGCCCTCACTCCCAGCCTCTTGGATCACACAACAATGGTCGGGACAATTCCAGCAGCCATGGGCAACCTCACAAGACTTGCTGAGATGTAACGCTCCTTCTCTGCTGTGCTGTGCTGTGCTGTGCTGTGCGGTGCTGTGAGGTGCTGTGCTGTGCTGTGCTGTGCGGTGCGGTGCTATGCTGTGCGGTGCTGTGCGGTGCTGTGCTGTGCTGTGCGGTGCTGTGTACCTCTGCTCGTGATAATGTGAAACACCGCTGTGAAGCAGTCTGTGTTTTTTCATCCATCCACTCTCCACTTCTGGAATCCAGTAATCCTCGTCAATAACCCAAAAGCGGCATATGTTGCCTTCACTGCCCACACTACCATGCATGGCGCAGCGCATGCAAGCGTGCTGGTGCTGCCATGGCCCTTGCTCACTGGATTCTCCAAAAGCTGCTCTCTCTTGCTCGCCGTCTTGCTCGCTTGCTGCTAATATAGAAGCATCTGTCCTCGCCGCCCCCTCCTCTCCTCGCCGCCCCCTCCTCTCCTCGCTGCCCCCTCCTCTCCTCTCCCCGCCACCCCCTCCCTCTCCTCGCCCCCCCCTCCTCTCTTGGCCCTCTCCAGCTCGGTTGTGCCTCTCAGTGCGACAGTGGGCCCTAAGTGTGCAAAGAACGGAGTGTGCGTGGTGAATCAGGATGCTGTCACGGCCTTCTGCAATTTTTGCCCTAGCTTCTGCCAGTCCTGCTCGCCCCCAGGCCTCTGCATCAACTGCAAAGGTGCGTGTGTGCGAGTGAGTGAGTGAGTGTGTGAGTGAGTGAGTGAGTGAGTCGTGGGTCTGTGTGTATGTGTGGGCCACTCAAACTCGCACTTGCGCAAGGCTCATACCCCATCATACCCCATCATACCCCATCATACCCCATCATACCCCATCATACCCCATCATACCCCATCTTTCCCCTTCTTTCCCCATCTTTCCCCATCTTTCCCCATCTTTCCCCATCATACCCCATCTTTCCCCTTCTTTCCCCATCTTTCCCCATCTTTCCCCTTCTTTCCCCATCTTTCCCCATCTTTCCCCATCTTTCCCCATCTTTCCCCATCTTTCCCCATCTTTCCCCATCTTTCCCCACCTCCACTCTCTCCCTGCGTCCATGTCCTCCCCCTGTTAGACCCCTCGCCACCACCAGCACCTGCAACCACCAGCAGCAGCGGCTTGTCAACGGGGGCAATCATTGGCATCGTGTGTGGGGTGGTGGTGCTGCTGCTGGCGCTGCTGGGTGGAGTCCTCTTCTACCTCCAGAGGAGGAACAACAAGGTTTCTCGCTTCGGTAAGGCATGCTCGTTGAGTTGAGTTGAGACAGAGATGGTCTATTTTTTTCTGGCTCAGAGTCTGCACGGACTCTGCAGAGAGCCCAGCGTTCTGAAGCTAAGGTGACCCAAAAGCTATGGTACACATACACATACACATACACATACACATACACATACACATACACATACACATACACATACACATGCACATACACATGCACATACACATACACATGCACATACACATGCACATACACATACACATGCACGTATACGTACAAGTCGACTCGCATCTCAAGAGCCCAACGTTCTGAAGCTATCCCGTGTCACGGCTCACAGCCTCCCCGTATCCCTGTCATCGCCGTCACTTGCATCATCACCATCACCACCACCACCGCCGCCGCCGCCGCCGCCGCCGCTGCCACATGGACGTTGAAACGTCTCAAAAGTCGCCGCCGCCGCTGCCACCACCACATGGACATTGCCAAATGCTTCATCCATTTTCTTCGTTCTCTCCCCTCCCTTGTGATGCAGGCGCACTAGCGAAGGGCGTGTGTGTGGAGTATACGATGAAGGAGATGGCGCAGGCCACCAACAACTGGTCTGATGCCAACCTGCTGGGGTCGGGGGGCTTCGGAGATGTCTTCAAGGGCGTGTCGCCCGACGATGGCACCACGCTGTGGGCTGTGAAGCGCGCCAAAGTCATCACCAACGACTTCCAGCGGGAGGTGCGTGCGTGATTCGTCCCACCCTCTCTTTTTTATCCCTAGATTTGGGTTGATTCATCTTCTTCAGAGATGAGTTCACCCATATTCTTCGTTCTCTCCCCTCCCTCATCGCTCTCCGCCACAATTTCCCCATCCACTCACCCTCTCTTCCCGGCTCACCACCCTCCGCAGGTGAGCGAGATGGCAACGAAGCACCACCCCAACCTGGTGCGCCTGCTGGGCTACGCCACGTGTGGGGACCTGCGGGAGCGCATCGAGCAGATCCTCGTCTACGAGTTCATCCCCAATGGGGATCTTGACAAGTGGCTCGGCAAAGGTGGGTGGGATCTGGGGTGGGTTGGGTCCTCAAGATTGGAGAGATGTGAGGTGGGATGATGATGTTTCTACATGCAGTTCGCCCTCTCTCCTCTCCTCGCCCCTCACAGCCCACGGAATCGACACCTACTCACGCCCGGCATCGACACAGCAACCAAACATCCTATGACAAACCACGTCCGCTCTTCTCCTTCCTTATTCATTCCTGCATTCTGATGTGCACTGTGCACGGCTGTGCAGACGCCCCTGCGCCCCTGACGCTGAAGCAGCGGCTGGACGTGATAGTGGGAGCAGCGCGCGGGTTCGAGTACCTGCATGGCTTTGACATCGTGCATCGCGACATCAAGCCCGCAAACATCCTGCTGGACAGCAACATGCAGGTGAGCAGTAGGTGGAAGGCAGCGCAGTGGAAGAGCCAGTCAAGAAGCTGTAGCATTTTCTTCTGTCTTGTTTGTTCCATCCATCCATCTCGTCCATTCATCCATCCAATCACCACCCACACACCCACCCACCCATACATGCTGCTATCACCACCTCTCTTACAGCCCAAGGTGGCTGATTTTGGTCTCGTGCGAGTGGAGGGGGGCACCACCGTGCAAGCCACACGGGTGATGGGCACACCAGGCTACGTCGACCCGGCTTACTCTCGCACGCAGAAGGCCACTCCTGCCACTGATGTGTACAGGTGCTGAGTCGTTCCAGCCACCCAGTCACCCTTCAGTGTTCAACTTTGATGAGCTTCTCTGCTTTAGTGTTATCCAGGGCATGTACTTGACATACTAGACGCTCGTGTACTGCTCGTGTTTTTGTGTGTACCAGACGCCCTTCAGACGCTTGGCAAATCGGTCTGCTAATCCGCTCCGCTGCGCTAACTGGACCAAAAGTCTAATCCGCTTCACTAACGGGACCACACGTTTTCGATCCCTTTTGTGCGATGTGTGCTCGTGCATCTCTCCGTGCGTGCATATTTTTGTTCTGTGTGCGTGTGCATGCGCATGTGTGTGGGTGTGCACATGTGCATGGGTGCTACAGTTTCGGTATTCTCATGCTGGTAGTGCTCACGGGAAAGCATGCCAACTTTGACGATAACGGCCGCTCCTGCTTCCTCCTCGAATGGGTACGCACGTTAGAGAATGTGAATTTCCAAAAGTGATTGCTACATACATCCTAGACTGGGTACACACGGCTCCCCCCCCCCCCCCCCTCTCCGCTTTCTTCTCTTGCTCTCTCTCCCTCTCCTCCCCCTGTTTCCCCCTACCATCCTGCTCCCCACCCAAACCCATCACCCTGAGCAAGATTCCTTTCTCTACCTCCTTACCTCCTTCCACCACGTCCCACCTCTTCCCACCCCACTCCACCACAGGTCCGGGAGAAGCTGAGCAAGGGGTCAGCGGAGACAATCACAGACCCGCGCATGGGCCCCGCTCCCCCAGGCGCCCTGCAGCGCATCACAGACCTGGCCATGCACTGCACTGCCACCTTCACTGCCGACCGCCCCTCCATGGCCCGCATCGCCCAGGAGATGGAGGCTCTACGATCCGAGGTAAGCGGTGGCGAGGAGCCGGTGCACAAGTCTCACAAGGTGGTGGATGCAGAGTTGAAGGAGCGGATGCAGGAGCAGAAGCAGATCAGTGAGACGATGGTGAGTGTGCTCACGTCGATGAACACTGGGAGCATGGGGAGCGGGAGCGTGAGCAGCTTCTGGGGAATCAGAGAGGCGGGGAGAACAGGGGATGTGAGCAGCAAGGATGCGCCCCCGCCAGAGGTGTGAGCGAAGGGAATGGAGAGTGGTGGAGAGGATTTTAGTGAGAGGAATTGGGATGGATGGAGAAGAGTGGCGCGCTTTGCCGCGTGTTTCACTGTGTGTGATATATACGTGGACTGATGAAGGGTAACATTTGGGTTTGTACCTGTATCTAGCTCTAATCCAGATTCTAGTGTCCTACCAGTTAGGAGTGATGTTAGTAGTAAGCTTAGCCCAATGCCCCATCTCTACATTAGAATGCTATAAACTGCCAGCTTATTTTTTCTTGCCAATGCCCTGTTAGTAGGATGTGGTAGGAAGTAGGAGAATGACAAGAGTAATTCTGCCTGAATATTTGTTTATGATCAACAAGAATAATGAGGCACTAAAATTAGATCATGCGAATGTAATAGCTCCTCAGAGCAGGGCAGTCAGAGAAGGCCACTCAGGCGCTGGCTCTTATCGTAGAGCAGAGCAAACTGCCAGATGATCCCAAGCACAGCCTGCAGCACAGCAGAGCAACAAGATGAAATTGCATGCATGCAACCAGATTGGTTCTTGAAGCAGCATGTCGCGCCACATCATGCATGCAACACCTACTGCGAGTGAGTGACCAGAACGGTCAAGAAGGGGAGGGGAGGGAGGGGAGGGGGGTACTGGGAATTCTGGAAAGAAACTAGTAGTCTAGAGGCAGAGCTCACGAGCCATACATGTGGTGTTACAGTTGGTGAGGACCCGAAATATTTCGCGAGAGCCTTGAGTTGCTCCCTGAGAAATAAGACACATGCACCCATGGACACATGGACACACAAGCACATGCACACGCGCACACACGCAGGCACGCACAGCACCAGGACATGACCAGGAGGATCCAAATGCAAGTTAGGTGCCAGAGAGCGGGGAAATTCAGGGGGCAGAACAGAAGTCTTTGGCACACACAGTAAGTAGCAAGCCATCGTCCATACCTGCAACTTGCTGCTTCCTCCGCTAGCTTTTCCCTCTCCGGGCGCGCCTTGTCCAAGAACGCTGTCAGGTGCTCGCACAGCGACAGCTCCCGGCGGCCCTCCTCTGTCGACGCATCGTCCCTCTCCTCCTCGTCGTCCTCCTCCTCTTCCTCCTCGTCATCCCATTCCTCATCCCACTCCTCGTCGCCATCCTCGTCGTCACACTCCTCCCCCATCTCTTCCTCCTCCTCCTCCTCCTCCTCCTCTGCTCGTTCTGCTGCAGTCCCCCTGATCTCTTCAGTTCCCTCAATTGCTTCCTTCCCTTGCTGAGAGGTAAGGTTGCGAACGCCTTCCCGTCCCTCCTCCAACACACCACTACTGCCAGAGCCATCACCAGCACCATCATCGGTCTCACTCCCCTTCACACCTCTCAGCTCTGGCCCCTCAGTCGTCCCACCTCCAGACCCTTCGCCTACCCTACCTCCTTCGACCGCATCACACCCCTCTCTCGCTGGCACCTTGATCCTCAACTTGCCAGACGTTCTCACCTCCCTCATGCCCCCTGCTCCCCCTCTCCTTCCCCCCACTCCCTCTCTCCCTTCCACCGCCCCTTCGCTTTCATCACCCCCCACTCCCACCAACGCACTGCACGCCTCTTCACCATACTCCACGTCCTCTGTACCATACCTGCTCATTATCTGCATTCCAGGCGGAGCAGAGCAGATGCTAGTGACAGCATAAGAATCAGTAGATGCAGCAGGAGCAACTGCAGCAGCAGCAGCAGCAGCAGCAGCAGCAGCAGCAGAGGGAGGTGGGGTCCTCAGCAGGCGTTCAAGCTCTTGTGCCACTTGCAGCCGCTGCAGTGGCTTCGCTTCTGCTTCTGCTGCTTCCGCTTCTGCTCCTACTGCTGCTGCTGCTGCTGCCTCGCCTGTAGCCTTTTCCACTACTGCTGATGCTCCTGCTCGTCCTGCAGCTGCAGGAGCTGGTGTTTGGAACAAGGTAGTAGCACCAGCAGCAGCCGCAGCCGCAGCAGCCGCAGCAGCAGCAGCTGAGGCGGCAGCAGAGGTCACAGCAGAGGCGACAGCAGAGTAGGCCCTACCACGAAGGTTTGTTTCTGTGACAGACACGCTGCGACTTCCATGTGCCAGCAGAGAGCGCGGCCCATCACCCCTCCTCCTCTTACTGTGACCTCCCTTACACGCACACAGGCCGCCACCACACTCACAGGCAGCAGAGCGGGACACACTCGCTTCCATCAGGAACTCGTGAAAGGCGAGACTTTCAAGCTGAGTGGGGTCACTGCGGGTGCGGGGGAGGATCCGGCTGCTGCTGCGAACGCCAGCGGCACCACCGCCAAAAGCAGCAGCAGCGTTGCCGCTGGTGCCCTTCTTGTGCCTCCTCACAACGCCCCTACCTGATCCTCGCCTGCTGCTCCTGCTGCCGATGGTTTCAGTGCCAGCGCCACCACCACCACCACCACCACTGCCAGCAGCAGCACCAGCAGCATGGCAGCCCACGTGGTTGGAACTCCCAGTCGCAGCTTTCAGGGGAGAGGAGCAATTTCCAAACAATGGTTGCAGGCATTTCCGAGGAGCCTGCTCCTTCTCCTCCCATCCCTCCTCATTTCCACTGCCCGGATTCTGCGTCACCTCAGTTCCATCGTCTCCCTTTTGCATGGGCCCAGAGACAGACGTCTCCCCTTCCACATTCCCCTCCGATCCCCCCTGCTCCTCCCCGCCTCCTCCCCGTCCTGCTGCCCCGCCTGCCCCTGTTTCCGCTGTCCCTGGCTTCAGTCCAGAACCCCGTTGAAGAAATTCGGGCCGAACAAGCAGATTGCCTTCAGACCACGCGCGTTTGGTGCCTGGGGAAGGGGTTATAGCCCCGTCAAACGGACTTCTTCGGTACACCACGCATGTAGGCCGTGTGGACCTTTTCCTCCCGCCCCCACCACCCCCTCGCACCAACCTGTGCCCTGCCCCACCACTCAGCTCACCACTCCACCGTTCCCCGCCAGACAGCACCCCCCCACCATCAGCACCATGCACCAAAGTGCCATTGCCAGTCCTCTCACGCTCCTCGTGCTGCTCCTCCTCTTCGTCACCACCATCACTGCTGCTGCTGCTGCTGCCGCTGCTGCTTGAGTCTCTGAGCTCGCTCATAAGCCTGAACGGCCCGCTGCCGCCCGCAGCCCGCAGCAAGCGGCTCTGGCCAGTAAAGCCAGCAGAGGGAGGCGCTACAGCAATCGGCGTACCAAAGGCGAGTCCTGGCGTAGTAGTCGTGGTTTGCCCTGGAGTCACATCAAGCTGCGGGTTAGAACAATCCCCAAGACTCGTGCGGCACGGCACAGGTGTGGAGGCAGCTGCAATGGTGCCGCCGCCGCCGCCGCTGCTGCTGTGGCTGCTACTGTTGCTACTCGTGTTAGCACCAAGAGGGGCTTGGTTAGCACTAGCTGTGGAGGTGAGAAGAGGGGCAGGAGAAAGCGGAGGAGCAGGGAGCGGGGAGGCAGCAGCAGGAGGAGGAGGAGGAGCGGAGGAGGAACCAGTGGGAGGGGCGGGAGTGGGATCAGCATTCTCATCCTGCTCGTGAATGGACCCCAGTCGAAGGATAGGCATCGGCTTCACTGGTCCGCGCCCAGAGGACGAAGCAGAAGGGTTGAGTCTTCGAGAACCCAGGGCCGGGGCTTTCTCTCCCTGTGCTCCGTGTGCCTTGGTGTCTGCTAGAGAGGATCCTATTCCTGAGCTCAGCGTTGCTCCTGCTGCCATCTCTGCCCGTGCCTCCGGTGCTATGGAGACCAGGTCAGCTATCCGCCCTGTTGTTCTTGTGCCTGAGCCTTCCCTTCCTCGTCCCCTCCCTCTCCCTCGGCCCCGCCCTCTGCCTCTGCCTCTCCCTCCCCGCCCCTTCCCTCCTCTGCCTGCTTCTGTGCTGCTGCCTTCTTTACTGTCGCTCCCGACAAATGGCACCTCGCCGTTCGCTTTACCCGTGCTCAACCCGTTGCTCGAAGCAGCGAAATTCACTCCAGGTGCTGGTGGCACTGCCTTGGCCAGCGGAGCTGCACCAGAAGCAGCATCCACAGCAGCAACAGCAGTACCGGCAGCACCACTTGCCGCAGCGAGTCTGCTATTCACCGAATTCGCAGCAGAAAGAGGAGCTGACGTTGCCTCATCGCCCACAACGCCTCTCAGCTTCCCACTTGCCCCCTGGTGTACTCCCCCCTCCACATGGCTGACAGACGTGCACACAGCACCCCTGCCCCCTTCTGTCGCCTCCTGTCTCCCCTGCTGCTTCTGCTGTGGTTGGGCTAGACGTGGAGGAGGTCGGGGTTGGGGAGGAGGGGGAGGAGGGGGAAGAGGGGGAGGTGGGGGAGGCGGGGGAGGAGGAGGGGCAACAAGAGGTGAAGGTGGGACAAGAGTGGGCAGAGGGCCAGGGCCTGCAGCAGCAGCAACAGCGCCAGGAGCTTTCGACTCAGCGTCTTTGTTTGTGCTGCCTCCGCTCGTTATCTCTTCACCCTTGGAAACTGCACTCTTTTCATTTCGCACCTTCGCTTGCCCCTTTCCCCCTCGCACTGCCACCTGACCCTTCCCCGCCACCTCCTTCCCCTTCTCCTTCTTCCCACCTCTCACTCGAGACGTCACCCCAAACACCGACCGCCTCTTCCCTTTCTCCTTGGCAAAGCAGGGCCCCGCACACGACGCTGCAACCCCACCAGTCACGGATCCAGAGCTCAGTTCCGAGTCACAGCTCTCCCTCTCCACTGCTCCTATGCGTAACGACTGCTTTGCAGCCACCGCTGCTGCCTGCTGCGACAGCAGCTCCCCCACTGCTTCCTCCTCCGAACCTCGCCTTGAACTACCACCCCCTTTCCTCCCTGCCGCCACACCCCCTTGTGCTGCTTCTGACCCTGCAGGCGCTTCTGCAACCACGTCGCCACCTGCTTCAGCTGCAGCAGCAGCCGCAGCAGCAGCAGTGGCGGCGGCAGCAGCAGCAGCTTCAGCTGCCGCCTTGGCTTCTGCCTCTGCGGCTGCTGCTGCTTCCTCATCGCGAATGAGGAAGGCGAGTTCTCGCTCCACTATGCCTATGCCCTGGTCCATTGGCGTCAGCGAGGAGTCTATCTCGTCCTGCCACAAGGGACACGGAATGGATGGCGGAAAGGAGGGGGGGATAGGGGGTTGAAACTTGAGCCGAAAAGGGGGCAGACACAGGGACAGCACTCACAGAATTCGTATATATGCCATGTGAGTTGTTTGTTCCAACTCACCTCCTTCCTTGTCCACCCCCTTACAATCTCTTCCCTTGCTCCCTCACTCCGCTAATCTCCCTCACCCTCCACTCCTGCGCCCAGCCCTGCCCCTACCTGCGAGTACTTAGCAGCGAGCCCCACAGCCTCGAGCTCCTTGCTCATTTCAAAGGGCGGGGCGACGATGCCAGTGGCAGCGAGGCGCAGCACAACCACCTCCAGCAGGCAGGACGCGCGCAGAATAGCACTGCTCAACGCATCCGCGTCCCCTGCTGCTGCTGCCATCGCAACCGCTTTCGGGGAGAACGCAGCAGCACGGGGAGACATGGGCCTAGGAGAGAGAGCGGCTGCTGCAGGCGCGAGAGCAGCAGCAGGGAGGGGCGTGGTTGGGGGCGGCTGGGAGGCAGACGGATGGTTGTGCAGGGAGGGAAGGGAGGCGGATTGGTGGATGGGAAGGGAGGAGGAGTGGTCTTGTGGAGGGATTTGAATCTGGATACCAGGGGGGGATTTGATTTGGGTGGAGGAGTCAGTGTGGGAGTGGGAACGGGGTACAGAGCGCTGGACTGGGGTGAGAAGGGAGTTGGAGGAGTCGGGTTTGGGTGTGCCGGGAGGAAGGGGTGGAGGGACGGTGACGGTGGTCTTGTGGTCGAAGAGCTTTGGCAGAGATTCCACGTTGAATCCAGCGGCTCCGGCTGGAGGGTGATTGTGCAAGGGTGAGGGGTGGAGATGCAGGGGAAAGGAGGGCAGAAAGTAGAGAAAGGGGTAAACATGGGGACTGTGACGAGGGTAAATGCGCTTTCAGTGGACTGATGGAATGACGGCTGGTGCCGTGTGTAGTTGATGGCGTCTCGTGCTAGGCATACGGGATCAGCAGCAGGAGCAGCAACAGCAGGAGAGACAGCAGCAACAGCAGCAGCAGTAGCAGCAGCGACAGCAGCAGCAGGTTGACAGCAGGGTTGGCGCACCTCGTGCAGTGCCATGGTTGAGGAAGTTGACGTATTCCAGAGCCACCTTCAAACACGCCTTCAGCGCCCTGCTGCTGTGCACCTGCCGCACGAACGCCCGGGGAGGAGAAGAAGGACAGGGTAGAAGAAGTGGAGAGGAGACGAGAGGGAGAGTTTCGTGTGAGAGGAGCACGAAGGTGGGAAGGGAGAGTGGGCGTCAGGAGGCTGGGAGGTAGGGCGTGAAACATGGTTTCATGGCATGGGAGGGGAAACAGGGAGTATTCGGGGATGGGATTCGTTGGCAGCATGTGGGACTGGAGCAAACCTGTTGGCATGCTCGTGTGACGGTGGCCATGATTGTGTGCGCTTGCTTGTGCAGGTCAGCGAATCGTAGCATAAAGACGAGCACCTGGTCGCACACGGGCACACGGGCACACGGTACACGGTACACGGGCACACAGAGGGGCATTAATTGAAGGGGGCAGAAGGTGAAACGAGCAGAGAGCAGAAGAATGCTTGCAGGCGGCAACCTGATTGAATGGCGCAGGAAGCATCCCGTGTGAAGCACATTCCATTACATCCCATCACGTATTAGCTAACTGACGGACTTGCTGTCAGCCGACCGTGGTTCTGAGTGGCCGACTAGCCGACCTCGATCCTGATTGGCTGCCTTGTTTACCACGATGCTGACTGCGGACTGACCTCGATCTTGTCGCGGAGGCGGGGGATGGAGGCGAGGGTGAGGAGGAACTGCTCGGGCGCGCAGAGAGCGTCCACGGGACCCGTGTACGCCTGCAGCTGGGTCACCTCGTCGTCATTAGGGATCACCTGCAGGGAGGACGGGGAGGGGGGACGGGTGAGGGAGGGGGAACGGGGGGAGAGATGGTGGGAGACGGGGGAAGAGGGTCAGGGAGAAAGAGGGGGGGGAGGGGAAGTGTGGGTGATGAAATTGAGGTGGAAATGACGGAGGATTGGTGGGAGGACATAGTGGTAACGAAGAAAGGAAATGAAGAGGAGAGTGGGAGGGATGGAAGGGAAGGGTTGGTGGGGAGAATGTAAGCGAACGAGACTTATTGGCTCGTTCTGTCACTTAATTTTGCTACACTGCCGCACGTCCTCCCAAGCATCCCATCCTTCGCTCTTTCCCGCCACCCCCTCTCGCTCTGCCTCTCCTCGATACTTCCTCGCCCTTCTTCACCTGCTGTAGAAGGTCCAGTCGCTCCAACGATAGCACACCCTTTTGGTCACCACCCATGATGGCATCGCGAATCACTCCGTGCGGCATGCGACACTGCGACAACATGATCGCCACGTTGTTCGCCCGCTGCACGGGCACGATACAAACCACCCCGTCCCCTTTGCCTCCCCCTCCTCCTCCTCCGCCATGCGTTCCCCCTACCTGACCCCTCCCCGCCCCTGATCCCCCCCCGGCGACCTGACTCCCTCCGATCTTAACCTTCGCCTCCTTGGCGCGGAAAACCACCTGCAGTTGCTCCTTCGTTTGTTCATCTAATTTCAAGCGCAGAAACTCGGAATCCTTGGCAATTTCCCCCCAGATGGTTCCTACAGTATCATGGACTTTGGTTGAGTGGAACCCTTTCAGTGGCACAGCTGGTTTCGCGCGGTTAAAGCCAGGCGCCTTGAGCGGAGGAGGAGGGGGGGCCTTAGGCGCGGGAGGCGGAGGAGGTGGAGGGGGCGGGGGTGGGGGAGCAGGAGGGGGGAGAACAGGAGGCGGAGCTTCGAGAGGCTTTGGCTCCTGCTCCTCCTTAGGTGGTGGCTCTTTTAAAGACGAACTGCACGTGAAAGAGAAAGAGATTCAGAAATGGATATAGGCAAGCCAGCTGAATTCAGTTGCTCGACTACTGCTCGAGCTAAAATACACAGATTGAACAAAGATGACTCAGAATTTGGAACATCATGGCTAACGGGTTCTGGTCCAAGTGAGGTTTCGCACCTCCCAAATATGCATCGGAAGCATGCACAGTTCATGATCCGTGGTATTCACGCATCCAAGCTCCAGATTCCTCGCACAACTTGCGGACTGATTCGGACGATTCAGAGAAGTCAAGCTGGGTACTGGGTGATACTCAGCCACCTACGCCATTGCTTCGTGTTGAATTCACGGACTGTCTACCATTGACTGTTAAACTTAGCAACGCGATCTCGCATTGCAGTGGAGAAGTGGAAAGAGCGCATCCTTCTGGGTCACATTCCCCGCTCGCAAACTATGGAGGAGGCAGATAACAGTCAGAGTCCTACGAAATGAGGGGATCGTTTTTCGAGAATCGATGGTCAAAAGTCTTTCCTGGCTCAGCGAACAGGTTCGTCAGGATCGAGGTTCAGCAAAGCTGCCAAGGAATTGGGTTGAACTTACGCATGCACAACACTTGGCTACCACACAATGATGGGACAGTTGTTGGTAGAGGGGGGGTGAGTGGGTGGGTGATGAGAGTGTATGCGTGTGTGTGAGGGGGGGTGGGTGTGTGAAAGGGGTGCGTTTGGGATGGTTGATGGAAGGAAATTCTTGCAGAATTTCGGTTGGGAAACTCGAGGCCAGAGCAGACCAACGCAACAAACATCACCGGAACCGAAAGCGGGAAGATTCCCAAGGAAAATGTGGCGTCACGACTCCCGATTTGGGGGGCGGGTGGTATGTGATTGGTTGAGAGAGCCTGTAAGGAGGAGCTTGTTTGGCGATTTGGCTCTGCTCCGAACGAGAAGTACACCAAGGTGGGATCATGGTGCCAGAGCCAGACCAGACCGTTGGCTGATTATGAGGCCAGACCATCTAAGCATGGTATGGAGATGACCAAAGCAATGTCGGCGCCAAACCTAATCATCCCAAATCTCGATTGACTAGCCGTTCAAAATGCAATTCCCTGGTTGTCGCGCAACCTTTCCGTTTGGCACACGGTACACCTGTTCAAATATCACAGCATTTGACTTATTCCAGCGATCGTAGTAAATACACTAAACAGAGAACAGCAGAATCATATGAACTAATAGCATATCAGTCCTTATCATCATATGTGCTTATGTGCAAACACAATTATAGAAATATTCATGTTCGTATTATCATATTTCCTCGATTTAAATCTGGTAGATATGGGCACACATGAGTCTTTTTAATCAGCAATAGATAAACACTTTTATTACATGATAGTTCTGGCATGTAAGGAAAAATCATTTTCCTTACTTCGCGTCCCTACTCAGCGCGTACACCACTGTAGTCCCACAGTCAGCACCGTTACCACCCACAACTCTCGCATCGACAATCCTCCCGCCACCTTCGCATGTCGCACACCGACCTCATGGCTCGGCGGGTAACCCGCACTCCGGGCCTCCGCTTCGACACTTTTCCCAACCTTAGTCCCAAGCCCGTCACACGACAACCACAGTCCATTATCGTTACCACTGTAGTTTCGCTATATATTCTTCGCTCATGCCTTCGCTCGTTGTATTATTGCTTCGATAGAGCAATTCTCGTTCGTTCACTCAATTGCACTCGTAACACTTGGTATTCAGAGCCTACGATCTCTTCTCGGACCACACCCACACCTTCGCTTCCCCACTATCTCATTTTTGGGGGGGGGGTAGACGTCTCTCAGCGACACAGCACCGCCGCCCGTAGTGCTCTCTCGTAAGCACGCACGGCCACGACCGCGGCTCTCGTTGAGCTCGCCCGACACCCCCGCCATGGCCGAATTCACGCTCGCAACATTGATGCAGGAGCAGCTCGACCGTCAGTTGCGCCAACTTGAAGATTCGGCGCTCGAAATTGCGACGCTCACGGCGGAACGTGACTCCGCGCGCCAGCAATCAACGGTGAACACTCCAGCGCTACCACACGCAGCGACAAATGCAACTGCACAATCGGACGAGCCGATTGTCATTTCGTCCGGCACACCAACACAAAACAACAGCATGGGACAGCGCTCAGGCGCAGCCAGTGATGGCACCGCCCAGCCGATGCCTGGCATGGGAGGAAACAGGGTTGCACCAAGCCCGCGGGAGCCTCGCGAAGACCGTCGACTCGTGGAGTTCGCGGCGACAAGTGGCGAACAGGCCATTATGGCACCAATGCCACTCAAGCCGCAACACCCGCACTGCTTCGACCCGAGCCAGCGTGGAGGTCCGACGGTTCAATCGTGTGTCTTCACGACGAACGTCTTCTTCGACGCGAATTACGTCGAGTCGGACGCAGCGAAGATTCGGTATGCCGTTTCGCTGCTAAGGGGCCCCGCCATGGACTGGTGGCGAGTCATCGTGACATCGCCACGCGCCCACGAGCCACCGTCGCAAGAGGAAGGGCCCACGGGTCCAGCTGTCACCTGGAGTTCATTCTACGAGACTGCCCAATACAGCACGTGGGATGCGTGGTGCGCAGGGCTTCGGGCGCGCTTCGAGCCGATCGCGGCTTCTATTTCGGCGCGTCAGAGATTGCGCACTTGTCGGCAGCTCGGGTCGGTTCAAGACTATGCGAGTGGTTTTCTCGCATTATGCGAGCACGTCGGCTACATGCACGAAGCGGAGCGGGTGGACCGTTACATCGGAGGGCTGAAGCTGGACATCTCGCACGAAATTATGCTACGCGGGCTCTCGAACTTCAACGAGATTCTCGCGCTCGCCGAGAAAATCGACATTTTACGCCGTCCGAGACCCGGGTCCTACTACGGACATCGTCCTCGGGGACCGACCGAGCACGCCACGGTACACGCCGTTACGACGAACGCAGCTGACGCGCCGTTTAAGGGGCGCTGCTTTGCTTGCAATATGTCAACGGGAGTTGTATGTTGGCCCCGTCCTCGCTTGGGCGGAGCCGACATCGTGGTCGGGTGTTAGGAGAGCAGCCGACCTGCAGCAGTGGGCGAGCTGGTTGACGAGGAGGTCAACCTACACGGGGACCACTGCACGGGCGCCGACTTCAGGGTGGCGCCAACTTCGGGGAAGTCGACTTAGGAGTCGACTTGCGGAGGACGTCAACTTGGTGACGTCAACTTGGGGAAGCCGACTTCGGTGGTCGCCTGATGGACTGCTGGTGGACCTGCGGGTGGTCGACTGGACCTGGTGGTCGACGAAGGAGGGGCCGACGTCGACCTCGACTCAGGACGCCGAGCTGTTGGGCGTCGAGTAGCGGGGCGTCAACTTCGTGACGCCGACTTCGGGTGGCCGACGTGGAGCTGGTCGACCAGAAGGGACGTCGACCTGGAGGAGGTCGACCGAGGGGCGTGGTCGTCCTGGTGAGGTCGACATGGAGGTGGTCGTCGACTTGGGAGGTCGACGGGCACGTACGGGAGCTGCTGGTTGACGTGGTTGCCCGGTCGACCAGGTTACCTGGGTGACGAAGTGCTGCGGAGGAGTGCGACGGTCGCCCAGGCAAAGTTGGCGAGATCGACCTCGGTGGTGGTATCCCGAGGTCGTCGTGGCGGATCAGAGGCAGTCGTCAGCTCGAGGTTGACGTGGTGTGTGCGCTGTGCAGGTGACGAGACTCTGCACGCCAATCATTTGCGCGCACCTGCGAAGCGGGTGCACTGCTGTCCTGCGTGAGCAATGCTGGTACGCCATCAACCTGCAACGTTGGCACGCCGTCGACCTTGCCTTGCTGGAGTGCGGTCGACCAAGTCGGGCTGGAACGCGGTCGACCAAGCTGCGCTGGCAGTTGGCCGACCTGAATGCTAGCTCTCATGTAGTCTTGCATTGCCTGTCAGAATACCAACCACTAGACTATTGGGATAAAAGGGCTTGTTTCAGTAGCGGGTCAGTGCGCCCATAACCCCCCAGGCGAACGCGCCTGTAACCCTCTCCAGGATCAATCGGGCATCCACAGTGCAGATCTACTGACACCCCCCCACACTGGGAGGCCCAGGACTAAGCACAGCGGCACCAGCCTACATGTGCATACACCGGGAATCGAACCCGAGACCGCTCTGATACCATGTCAGAATCCCAACCACTAGACTATTGGGATAAAAGGGCTTGTTTGAGTAGCGGGTCAGTGCGCCCATAACCCCCCAGGCGAACGCGCTTGTAACCCTCTCTAGGATCAATCGGGCATCCACAGTGCAGATCTACTGACATTGCCAACTTCATTGGATCATTGTTGTCATGTTTTCCTAGTGAAACTCTTGCCAATTCTCCCCGTGAACTAGCAAGAAGCGTAAACACAAGGAAATGACTAAATGAACGAACGCAGAGATCACACGAGCACACGTGCCTAGCCCGTAGTCTAGCTCCCATTGCAGCAGTTATCTCCGCAGAATAGGCCGGTCCATCGCAAGAGTGAATGCCCAGAGGAGCTAAGGCGCCGCGGAGCAGAGCAGGGGAGGGAGTCTCCAAGGCAGGGAAACGCCAGCAGTCAGTAGGAATCGGGCCAACTACTCACGAGACTGCCTGCTCGCCCAACCCCACCGACCCTCACCGAGTCACAGTACCGATTCATGCTATCGATCGGACTCGGACGAATAAGGAGGGTACAGCGACGGATTGCCCAGTACTGATCCACGGGAAAATACAGGGAGCAGCAGTGAAGATTTTTATCGGCGGAGGAGCAAGTGACAGTTTAGTTAATACCGCAACCGCACGGAAACTGCAACTGACACTTAGCCGTTGTTTAACTGAGATAGACGCACGCTTTGTTGACGGCACGCCGCTGGCCAAACGGGAGAAGGTGGAAAGAGTAAAAGTTCGCTGCGGGGGAAAATTCGGGTTTACACAGGAAATGCTCGCGATGACACTGGATGGGCACGACATTTTACTGGGACGTGATTGGTTGCGACAATACAACCCGAGAATCGACTGGACGACAGGAAGCTGCACTGTGCGAAGTAGTGGCAACTGGATCGAACTACCTCGCTGGCAGTCGCTTGAGTCTTCAACGGTCCACGTCAACGCCATCTCGATGAAACAAGGAGTCGCCGCTGGAGCTGACGTGTACGCAGTGGACATTGCCGTAGTAGAAGAAGCAGAGGAGCCGAGCGATTTTAAGAAACTATTAGCAGTAGTACCGCCCGAACTACAGGAACTGTTGAAACGATACCCCGGGATTTTTCCGGACGACTTACCAGAAGGACTGCCACCTCAGCGGGCACATGACCACCGCATAGAATTAGAACCGGAGGCACAGCCAACTGTACAGCGCCAGTTCAGACTGACACAGCCCGAGCTCCACAAACTGAGGAAGCAGTTAGATTACCAGTTAGAGAGAAATTTCATTCGACCGAGTTCGTCACCGTTCGCCGCACCGATACTGTTCACACCGAAAAAAGACGGGGGTTTTCGCATGTGTATCAACTACAGAGAATTGAACAGGGTAACAGTCAAGTCGCGGTACCCCATTCCCTGCGCCGACGAACTGATCGACCAGCTGCGAACAGCACGGTTTTTTTTGAAAATAGATTTAAAGGGGAGGTTACCATCATATTAGGGTCGAACCATCGGACTGCGCCAAGGCAGCTTTCAGGACTAGGTACGGGTCGTTCGAGTACACCGTGATGCCATTCGGGCTGACCAACGCACCGGCGAATTTTCAGATGACCACGAACGAGCCGTTTAGGCCGCTTTTAGATAAATGCGTGATAGTTTACCTCGACGACATCCTCGTCTACAGTCGCGACAAGCAGCAGCACTTAGCAGATTTGGGAGCAGTATTCAAGAATTTAGACGAGCATCGATTACTGACAAAGGGTTCCAAGTGCGAGTTCTTTCGAGACAGGTTAGAGTTTTTGGGGCACGTTATTTCTGAGGCTGGGGTCGAAATTGACCCAAAGAAGTTAGAAACGGTAAAAGCCTGGCACCCCCCGACCAATATTACCGAACTGCAGAGTTTCTTAGGGTTCGTAAACTACGTGATCGGTTCGTCCCCGACATGGCACGGTTGACGGCGCCACTAACGGACTTATTACGGAAAGGGGTCGCTTTTACGTTGGGGGGGAAAGAGCATGCTGCCTTCTCTGCCCTGAAAACTGTTCTCTGTTTGCCACCCGTCCTGCGCATCGTGAGAAAACTGAAACGAGAATGGAATGACTAAGTGAAAGTTGGGTACAAATGCAAACCCTAGAAAGCTGTACCCCATGTGTCCTACCCCACAATAGCCTACAATAGCTATGTCATATAAATCTGACACACCCCCATAGGCAAAGTGGGGGAGTACAAGGGGTCACAAGACCAGTCAAGCAAAGCAAAGCAAGCTCAGGGTGGATCACAAAGTCACCACACAGTCCGAGCACAAGGTAAAGGCCACAAGGCCAGCTCACATGCAGGAGTACACATATATAAAATGGGCTAGACAAGCAAGAGCAGGAGTATATATATATGTAGCAGTAAAAGCAAGGTCAAGAGGTGAGCAAGTGAGGCAAGGCAGGTACAAGACCCAGCTGAGTACAGAAGCGCTGATGATCACAAGGCGCAAGCGCCTTGGTGAAGATATCAGCAGTGTTGGCCTCAGAGGCCACGTACGCAAGACGCAGCTGACCACGCTGCTGCAGCTCACGAGCAAGGAAGTAGCGAAGAGCAATGTGCTTCGTTCTGTGCTCCAGTCTCTGCTCTCGACACAAGGCCAGCATGGCCTTGTTGTCTACGTACAGCACTGGAGGAGAACGAGGCGGCTCTCCGAGGTCAGTCAGCAGGTAGGTGAGCCAGCGAAGCTCCTGAGCAGCCATGGCCCCGGCGTAGATCTCAGCCTCACAACTGGAGCCGAGAACAGAAGACGAGCGAGTAGCCCGCCACGAAACAGAGCCGGAACCAAGGCTGAAGGTGTAACCCTGTGACGACCGCTGCGTAGCCTGGTCGTCAGCCCAAGAAGCGTCTGCGTGCCCAGTGAGGACCACTGGACTCTGCCCTCCAAGCACAAGCCCCATGCCCGACGTACTGCACAAGTAGCGCAACACCCTCTTCGCTGCGGCCATGTGCTCCGGTCTGTGTCTCCCAGGAGCAACATAGCGCGCGAGAATGCTAAGAGGGTATGCAAGGTCAGGTCGAGTGCAGGTCATCAGGTACATGAGGCAGCCAACAAGCTCTGGGTACGGGCCACTCGACTCTACGGACTCATCCGAAGGCAGAGCTGAGAGCGAGTGGCGAGTAGGCAGAGGAGTGGCCTGAGGCGAGGAGTACGTGAAGCCGAAGCGCTGAAGGACCTGCTGCACCATGTGTGACTGAGTCAGGGTAATGGTGCGACGTGCTCTGTCCCGGGTGATCTGCAAGCCAAGGTAGCTGCGCAGTTCACCTAGGTCTGTGCACGTGTGTCTCTTCTGCAGCTCGGAATTCACGTGGGCGAGTCCAGCAGTGTCAGCAGTGGCAAAGACCAAGTCGTCGACGTACACGAGGATGTAGAACGGCGGCAAAGAAGTGTCGGTGCGCAGAAACAGCGACAGGTCGGCAGTAGAGGGAGCAAACCCAAGAGCCGCAAGTGTAGTCCTCACTGTGTCGTGCCACTCACGCGGTGCCTGGCGGAGACCGTAGACTGGCCGCCGGAGGCTCCACTAGGTGCCAGGAGGAAAAGTCCCAGTAAAGCCAGGTGGGCGGCGCAGCCAGATCTCCTCGTGCAGGCTACCCTGCAAGAAAGCAGTGCTGAAGTCAAGAGAGTGAAGCTCGTAGTCGCGCTGAGCGGCTATGTGTAGCAGCACCCGAAGAGTGGTCATCTTCGGGGTGGGAGAAAAGGTCTAAAAGTAGTCAACTCCCTGCCGCTGACTGAAGCCACGAGCCACGTACCGCGCCTTGAAGACAGGTGGAGAACCTGGCGGCCGCTTCACCCTGAAGATCCACATGCCACTGACGATGTTCGCCCCAGGCGGGGGAAGTGCGTCAACGTAGGTGCCTGTGGACTTCCAGGAAGCCATCTCTGCATCCATAGCTGCCTGCCACTGAGAGGAGTAGGGACCCTCTATCGCCTCCGCGTAAGAGCGCGGAGTCGGGATGTCTGGTGCATCCGGGTCTCCCTCAGGGGTAAGCAGTACGGACACGAGATGAGGTGAAGCAGCAGCCAGACACTGGAACTCCTCCTGCCTGTCCTCAAGGACGTCCTTGCCAAGGGCACACTCACCCCCGACAGACGGAGGACAGACAGACTCAGACTCAGCGACAAGACTAGCAGCGTAGTCGAGACGACAGCGAGCAGCAAAGTCGACGAGCTCAGCAACTAGGGCAGACGCAGCAGTGGACTCAAAAGAAGGGTTAGTGACGATAGTAGCAAGGAGACGCGTGACAGTAGGACTGGCAGCACGAAGAGAGTCCGACTGCGGGTCGGCAAGAGTAGGAAGAGAAGACTCAGGAGGAGAAGGCAAAGGGGCACGCAGAGGAGCAGTGGACGGATGCAGAGACATCCGGTGCGTGCCAGGGATAGGAGGAGGACGCTGACGCGAACCACGACCACTAGTGCGAGCAGCACGGACAGGTGACGCAGGGCGAGACGCAGGCTCACGACGCTCAGCAAGACCTCCAGTAGGACCAGTGTAGGGAGACGGAGCAGGCAGTGGGGAGGCCGGCTGTAACTGTAACAGCGACGGGACAGGCTGTGGACACTCTAAGGGAGGAGGAGGACCAGTAGAAGACGGGAGACCAAGAACCTGCTGAAGGAGCGGAACGAAGTACGGCCGAGGCCGCGCGGCGACTCCAGACACAGCACGGACAGCACCAGCACCCCCAGTGGCAGCACCAGCACCAGTAGCAGCTCCAGCTCCAGTACCTCCAGCAGCACCAGTAGTACCCTCAGCAGGACCGCCTCCAGGACTGACAGAAGTAGCCTCCGCGCCAACACCATCAGCAGCTCCAGCTCCAGAAGTACGCGCAGGCCCAGCAGCTCTAGTTACTCCCAGTACGAGCACCTCCGGGACCCGTGGCACCAACTCCCTCAGCAGCAACAAAAACTCCAGTACCCGCAGCATCTCCAGCTCCAGCAGCTCGCCTCCAGCGCCTGGCAAACCACTCACGCAGCTCCTATGGAGAGAGTGGCTCCCGGCGAGACGAAGCACCCGGTGAACCGCCAGGCACAGCACCAGCAGGCCCAGCTCCCTCAGGCTCCGCACCTCCAGGCGTAGCACCCCCAGGCTCAGCACCTCCAGGCGTAGCACCCCCAGGCTCAGCACCCCCAGGCTCAGCACCCCCAGGCGTAGAACCCCCAGGCTCAGCACCCCCAGGCTCAGCACCTCCAGGCGTAGCACCCCCAGGCTCAGCACCCCCAGGCCCAGCACCCCCAGGCTTAGCACCCTAGGCGTAGCATCCCCAGGCTCAGCACCCCCAGAGTCAGCACCCCCAAGCTCAGCACCCTCAACAGCACCAGAGTCACCAGCGACCTCGATAGGCTCAACCGCGTCTACCTGGGACACACCTGAAGGGGCAGGACCCTGAGGGGGGAGGGGTTCTACCGGGGGTGGACCTGGCACAAGGAAGAGGGGTGGCGGGGGGAGGGACGGAGTGCGGTAGGGGAAGAGACGGTAGTAGGGGACCGACTTGTCGAACGTGACGTCCTGGGAGGACAGAACACGGCGAGAGGTGGGGTGGTAGAACTGCCACCCTGGTGCGTCAGGGGGGAAACCCAGGAAGACGCAAGGAGCAGCACGAGGGGACAGCTTGTACGCAGACAAGTCGCGGACAAACGCCCGAGATCCCCAGACACGGAATGCAGACGCATCGCCAACCTTCCCCGTCCACACCAAAGTTTGGGAGGTCTTCGGCATGGAGACCCGGGGGTGAAGGTTGATCTGATGCGCCGCGTACCGAACCGCAAACGGCCACAGAAAATGGGGGGCAGCCGCATGCATCATGGACGTACGGGCGACGTCCATGACCATGCCAATGCGGCGCTCAGCAATCCCATTTTGCTGTGGGGAGTCCGGAAGCGTGAAGATCTGGCGGATGCCTCGTGCACGACAGTAGGCTCGCAGGAGGCCAGAGGAGAACTCTCCGCCTCTGTCAGAGTGCAGACGCAGTACAAGAAAGTCCGAGCCGAAGCTCCGCCTGAGCTGGAGACGAGCTGCGCGGATTCAGACAATCAACACCGCAGTGACATCACCCTTGCTGTGCAAGGGGAAGACTGTGGTGTAACGCGAGTAGTCGTCAACCACCAGCAGGAAGTAGCGCTCGTGACCCTGTCTACGGACGCGGGCCGGGCCCCACACGTCCATGTGAAGCGTCTACAGCGGGGCCTCTGTCGGAGGAAACTGGGAGGAGTGAGGGGCAGCCCGCTGCCGCCCCTCGACACAGGGGACGCACGTAGGGCCAGGCCCAGGAGGAAGGGGAGGGAGGGACCGGGGAAGACCAGAGACAAGGACACGGGAGGCCATGCTACGGAGACGAAGCAGGGAGGGGTGACCAAGGCGGTGGTGCCAGAGGAGAGTCTCCGGAGACAAGAGGCGATACGAGCAGGGGGCAGACTCAGGACCAGACCTGGACGCTGCAGCAAACACCTGACCCGACGCAGCTACCTGACCAGACGCAGGGACTGGAGGAGACTCAGTGGTCAGGGTGTACAGGCTCGACCCCGGCCGACGCGTAAACGTGGCCAAGTGGCGGCCTGTGCGAGCGTCCGAGCAGTGGGTCACCCGCTGACTCGCAGGAGTAAACTGGTGAACCCCCGCATCCTGTAGGTCAGCACCACTCACCAAGTTCGTAGAGAACGAGGGAAGGTAAAGACCAGACAGGGTGCCAGAGGGGGCCGCCGGACACGGGAGGACAGTGGAGAAGTGAGAAAGGACAGGACCCCCAGAGGGGTCTGCCAAGGAGACTGCAACCGGCCGACCAAGCGGCGTGAGTGTGGTGCGGTCTCGAAAGAAGGAGCGAGAAGCCCCTGAGTCAAGTGTGAAGGTGAGGGAGGCCGAAGCCGACGCGGTACCTGAGAGCGCAGACTCACCAGCACCTGAGGACGCAGACGCACTGGCACCTAGAGCTGCAGCCTCACTAGCACCTAGAGCCGCAGCCTCACCAGTACCTAGAGCAGCAGTCTCAATGCCCGGGTCGGCGGGAAAGCACCGGTAACAGTCACCCTCATCACTAATAGTCACAGCATACATGGCAGCAAGAATAGCATCAAAGTCAAGATCAAAGATATCTACACCCGCCCTAGACAGCTCACCCCAGCGGGGGATCTCAGTGGCCTCCGGGAACTGGTGACGCCAAGCGTCCGTCAGGCGGCCAAAGCAGCGGTGGGTGGGGTGTGCACCCCCACACTGCTCACCCGCGCGGTCGCTGGTGCGTAGGACGTAGGTGCACGGACCAGTACCCCCACCCCGCTGACGTGCAGCGTACCACTCACGGAGCCGCTAAGGGGGGGGGATGTCCCAAGAACGCTGCTGCTGCTGCTGCTGCTGCTGCTGGCGCTGACCACCACCAGGGCCGCCCCGCTGCGTAGCGCCACCCCGACCAGCTCCACCTCCTCCACCACCGCCTCCGCCACCTCCGCCACCTGCGCCGCCTCCGCTCCCACCGCCACCGCCTCCGCCGCCTCCGCCTCCACTGCCGCCACCGACACCTCCACCCCCGCCACCACTCCCACCGCCACCCCCACTCCCTCCGCCGCCTCCACCGCCGCCTCCACCACCCCCGCTAGCTCCTCCAGCGCCCCTGCCCCCCTTGCCCTTACCAGAGCGGCGTCTCCCGCTTGGGGTAGACGCCGCACCGACCGACTCAAGACCAACGAGGTCGGCCGCAGCAGCAGAGGCGACAGAGGGCAAAAAGGGGGAGGGGGAACACCCCTCAAAGATGGGGGTGCGAGGGTCACCACGAGAGGCTCCTATAGCGACTATGCTCTTCTCCGCTGCTAGGAGGGCCTTCTCGAGGAGGTCAACAGTGAGATTGGTGGGAGTGACTGAGAGGAAGTGGTCTCTGACTACACGAAGGGAGTCAGGGAGGCGGGTGACTATGTAGTAGAGAGTGATGTACATGGGGGGGGGGTTCTTGGCGCAGAACTCAGCAGGAAGCGCAGCACGGTAGCGAGTGTCACTAGTGCGGAGGTGCGTAATGAGGTCAGCGATTGTGGGAAAGGCAGCAAGGTCAGGGAAGAGGTACGGTAGCATGAGGCGGCTTAGTGCAGAAGTGGCAGGGGAAGAGTAGCGTGCAACTACAGCGTCGTACAAGGTCTGAGCACTCTTGTACTGACTAAAGTGTGCGCGCTCAGTGGTAGGCAGGTGGCGACGCACAGCAAGACGTGCAGCAGCATCGCGAGTGGCCCACTGTGAGCGAACAGTGGCGTCGGCATCGGTAGCAGGGGCAGGGGAGGCACCAGAGGTGAGGTCAAAGAGGGAGAGACCGTCTGCCCTATCGCACTGTAGGAAAAGCTGCAGGTCATCTACCCAGACGTCAAAGTCAATGGCCCGACCCTCAGCGTCAAAAGTGAGAACACTGGGGATAGCCATGACAGCAGTAGACTAGCAGCGCTATCTGTAGAGCAGGGGCAGTGCAGTGACAGAGGCGCTGGTCTCACCAGACAGGGCGGTTCGGGCAGCTCGGGCGGCTCGGCAGCAACTGCGGCTCGGTGGCACCCGCGGCTCGGCTCCTCGGCTGCTCAGGTGGCTCGGGCGGCTCGGGCTGCTCGGGCGGCTCGGGCGGCTCGGGCGGCTCGGGTGGAACGGGCGGCTCGGGCTGCTTAGCGGCGCGGGCGGCTCGGCTGCGTAGGCGGCTCGGGCGGTAGGGGACGGGGCCGGGACCGAAGGTAGGGCGGCGGGGCCACTGGTAGGGCGGCGGGGCCGCTGGTAGGGCGACGGGGCCGGTGCGCAGGTAGGGCGATGGGGCCGGGGCGCAGGTAGGGCGACGTGGCCGGGGCCGGGGCGCAGGTAGGGCGACGGGGCTAGGGCCGGGGCCGCAGGTATGGCGACGGGGCCGGGGCCGCAGGTATGGCGACGGGGCCGGGGTCGCAGGTGGGGCGATGGGGCCGGGGTTGCAGGTGGGGCGACGGGGCCGGGGTCGCAGGTGGGGCGACGGGGCCGGGGTCGCAGGTGGGGCGACGGGGCCGGGGTCGCAGGTGGGGCGACGGGGCCGGGGTCGCAGGTGGGGCGACGGGGCCGGGGTCGCAGGTGGGGCGACGGGGCCGGGGTCGCAGGTGGGGCGACGGGGCCGGGGCCGCAGGTAGGGGGACGGGGCCGGGGCGTAGGTAGGGCGACGGGGCCGGGGTCGCAGGTAGGGCGACGGGGCCGGGGCGCAGGTATGGCGACGGGGCCGGGGTCGCAGGTGGGGCGACGGGGCCGGGGTCGCAGGTAGGGCGACGGGGCCGGGGCGCAGGTAGGGCGACGGGGCCGGGGCCGTAGGTAGGGCGACGGGGTCACTAGGGCGACGAATTAGGGGCCGCTAAGGCGGCGCGATGTGGCCGCTAGGGCGGCTCGACGAAGTCAGAGAGGGGAGTGCGACTCGGGCTGAGCGCGCTCCGGGCAGGAAAAAAAAAAACTTTCGACTTGGTGGGCCCTAGGCACAGTTCCCACGAGGGAACCTGCTCGATACCATGAGAAAACTGAAACGAGAATGGAATGACTAAGTGAAAGTTGGGTACAAATGCAAACCCTAGAAAGCTGTACCCCATATGTGCTACCCCACTATAGCCTACAATAGCTATGTCATATAAATCTGACACATCGCTGACCCACACCGCCCATTCGAAGTAGTTACTGACGCCAGCGACATCGCCATCGGAGCCATACTGCTACAGGACTTTGGCAACGGCCTACAGCCCATCGCATACGAGTCATGAAAACTGCATCTGCGTGAGAAAAATTACCCGATACACGACCGCGAAATGCTTGCGATCGTGCACGCGTTCAAAGTGTGGCGCTGTTACTTGACCGGCGCAGACGTGACAGTACGGATAGACCATAAATCACTACAGTACCTCCGCGCACAGCCACACCTCAACCCACGACAGATTCGTTGGGTCAACTTCCTCGACTCAAATTTTCATTACATGGTCACCTACAAAAAGGGAGCCTCGAACATCGCCGACGCACTGACCCGCCCCACTGCCCAGATCCACACAATACTACTCGCCCAGACAAGCCCACTACTGACAGGCCTATTTACCCACGGGTACCAAACGGACCCATTCTTCACAGGAGGAAATTCGCAGCAGTTTGCAGCAGCAAGGGAAGTCTATTACGTAAAAGCGGGGACTGGCCGCATTTGGGTGCCTGGATATACACTGCTACGGGAATTACTGTTACAGGAGGCACATGACGGAGTTACTTCGGGGCATTTCGGAGTAGAAAAAACACGGCAGCAGCTGCAGCGGTATTATTACTGGCCCGCAATGTTGACCGACGTACAACGACACGTGGCATCGTGTCCCACTTGTCAGCTTATGAAATCATCAAGGCAGTGGCCGGCAGGACAGTTGCAGCCGATACCACCTCCAGAGCGCGCTTGGCAGCAGGTGATGATGGACTTCGTCACGGGGTTACCGGCCGGGGCGAGTGGGAATGACGCGATCCTGGTCGTCGTCGATCGACTAACGAAAATGGCACATTTCGCAGCCTGTAAAAAATCAATCACAGCCGAAGAAACAGCACAAATCTTCATCTCCACCGTCGTTCGACTGCACGGGATACCAGCAGCAATAATCAGCGACCGCGACACGAAATTCACCAGCAACTTCTGGCGGAACCTGTGGCAGAAGTTCGGCACGCAACTGCAGTTCAGTTCATCATACCACCCCGAAACCGACGGACAGACAGAATGGACAAATCAGACCATGGAACAGCTCTCATCAGTGCCACGTGCGACGACCCGGCCACGTGGGAACAACAACTGCCACTCATCGAATTCGCGTACAACAACTCGCCATCCGCCACGACCCAGCAGTCACCATTTTACCTAAACTACGGACAAGACCCGACAGTACCCATGACCCCGAATCCCGACAACCCAGTGCCACGAGCGCAACAGTTCGCCGAAATATTATAAGCAGCATGGACCCGGGCAGCAGATGCAATAAAAAAATCCAACATCATCGCAAAACGTAACGCCGACCGCCACCGCAGACCTGTCACTTACCAGCCCGACGACCTGGTTTTACTTGACACCCAGAACCTCCGCCTGCCCATCACCCCAAAACTCCGCCCCCGATACTGTGGACCATTTCGCATCAGCCACATGATCACACCCGTCACCGCCCACCTCCTCCTCCCTGCTGACTGGTACGTCAGCCCCTCATTCTACGTCAGTCTGCTTCGCCCTTACGTCCCGTCCACGAGCCAACTACCACGCACTCGCCCAGTCAGCATGACACGACCGCCAACTGAACCAATCATCACCCCCGAAAAAATCCCGAGCCACCGAGATCGTGACCCTCGAGGAGCCCGAAGGATCGAGTTCCTGATCCGCTGGAAAGACCGTACACCCACCGAAGACAACTGGGTTCCCCTGGACAGAATTGAAAACCACCCCGTCCTCACCGAGTATCTGCGCAGCCGAAACTTCAGGGATGTACACGCACTTTCGTAAGGAGGACCTCCTTAGGGGGGGGGGTAGTGTAAGGAAAACTCCTTTTCCTTACTTCGCGTCCCCCCTCAGCGTGTACATCACTGTAGCCCCACAGTCAGCACCGTTACCACCCGCAACTCTCGCATCGACAATCCTCCCGCCACCTTCGCACGTCGCACCCCGACCTCACGGCTCGGCAGGTAACCCGCGCTCCGGGCCTCCGCTTCGACACTTTTCCCAACCTCAGTCCCAGGCCCGTCACACGCCAACCATAGTCCATTACCGTTACCACTGTAGTTTCGCTATATATTCTTCGCTCATGCCTTCGCTCATTGTATTCTTGCTTCGATAGTGCAATTCTCCTTCGTTCACTCAATTGCACTTGTAACATGGCACTTGTTTTCAGGAGTGTGCAGAAGTAGATGCAAAGATCACGGGGATAGATTCTGGCCTTAGAGTTGCTTTGTGTACCTAGTTGTCCCTAGTGCACCTAAGGGCGCTTCACCTGTCGGTTCGAACAACACACTCGTTCGAACAGGCGAAACGTTACTCGTTTCGCCTATGTTCGTAGTGGTGATCGTGACGTCGCGAAGCACAATTTCGCCAATTTGAACAGAGCTGTCACCTCAAGCACGATTTTCATCATCCCGCACGTTCGAACACGTTTGTTCGAACAGGTTGGGATAGGTGACACACAATTCCGCACAAACGACTGATATGATTGGTCCACAGTCTTCCGGGTCGCCCATGAACGTTTGCGACCCGGCCAGACGTCGCCATGAACGAAGTTTGGCGACGTCGCTCTTTTGTGGGCGACGTCGCTGTGTTCGAACAGACCGCGTGTGCGAATAGCGATGGCGTCACCTGTGACGGCCTGTGTCACATCCGCTCATTGTACGTATTTGTGTTCGAACTCATTTGGGATACTGTTCGTACAGTCAAACTGATACGTCGGTTCGGATTTTGGCCTTCCGCCCCTCAGGTGAAGCGCCCTAAGAGCGTACATAAGTTGAACCAAACTCCACTTCGTGTGCACGTGTACATGTACTGTACCGAGGGTCACCATTTTCTCATGCACGCCAGTACGATTCGGCCGCATTCTTGCACCCATTTCTTACCGTGAGTCGACCTGCCCATCAAATTCCACAGAGATGAGGTGATGTGCAGCAGCCCATTGTCTGCAGTTTCAACACCGAGATGTCGTCATAACCGAACCCAACCCACACCAACCTGGGTACAGGTGAGGAGGGGAGGAGAAGCAGGAGCACCACCGCCGCCCTCAGGCCAGCGAGTTGCATTAGTCAGTGGACTGTGCCACACACGCCACATTAATACTGTACATTACAGTTAATAGCATCTATGTACTGTAACAACATTCACAGACACGCCTCCCTCCCTTCCACCAATTCATACTCGTTAAAAGCCAACACCTCCAAACCAACTACCTCACCTCATCCTTCCAGCCCATCCCACGTGTCTGGTTCGCTGTCTTGCTGCGTGCATCTACTTCATACTCCAGGTTCAGTCTACCCTGCTCCGTACTGTATCTCATTCTCAAGCCTCCAGCCATTTAGGATTCTGTCGCACGCAGTCATTTCACATCGGAATGCACTGTATCCCAAGGTTGATGAATGTATCTGAAACGCAGCGTTGACCTCCGACAAGCCGGCGGCATTCACCAGGATAATGTCGTCATAGGAAGAGGGAGAGGAGCCATTGCCATTACCGAACCAAACACAAAACCTGGCTCGTCCTCACATGACATGTTGGTGGTCGGCGTTCTTCCTGATGCTTAGAGGAATGCTATTTTGTTCGTTCGCCATTGAAAGGTCAAATACGAGACGTTTACCAGCATGGTAAGGCTAATGTCGCCGACGCTCTTCCACCCGTGGCGCCAGCCCTGGTGCGAAATGCCTCGCGGGTTCGCCGCCATAGACTGAATTCAGCGGCATTTGCGGGTGTGGTCACATAGATAGTCATCGTGGTTCTCGTCTCCCGCCTTCGATCCCTCTTGCTCTCTCTCTCCCTCTCGCTCTCTCCGAACCGAACCCCTCTCAATGGCCCACAGCCCTACCTTCAATTCCGCACGCGCAATCATCGCTTCGTCAGCATCCACTGTCTGCGATCCTTCCCGTCGCACCACATATCATACTAAGCGGCTCTCTAACGTCCCGGCGATCACAGATAACCAAGACCACTGCATTGTATTTTTTGAGAATTCTCAGAAAACACATTCGATCCTTCCCGTCGCACTACAGATCATCTCAAGCGACGCTCTAACGTCCCGGCGATCACAGATAACCAAGACCATCACTGCATTGTAGCCGCTTCCGCCGCGGTATCGCGGGCCGACTCTCCGGAAGCTGGGTTAAGCGAAGGAAGTGGCACCAGCTGCGGCGACAAGTCTGGTAACAGCGACCGTTTGCGAATCTCGCTAATGGATTCTGTAGATAGTTCCCCGGGTCCGTCCATGCCTCGTCCGCACCACCATTCCTCCCACAGCAGCGGCAGCTTACCCGCCTCTTCTCTCGCTGGCGGAACCTCTTCCAATAGCAGCTCCCCTTACTTAGGTGGAAGCGGAGGCAATTCCGCCCTAGGCGGGCGGCGGAGCAGCAGCAACGACTTGCTAGTAGCGGCGCCGTCGGTCTCCTCCTCTTCTCTTTCCACTGGCCCCGTTTCCCCTCACCAATTCCTCCCCCCGCATCTCGCGGCAATGCAGCGCCGTCGCAACCAGTCGTATTCCCCTTCTTCTTCCCCCGGCCCTCCGTCAACCGTCCGCGCAATGGGGACCCCTCCGCCAGCGCCTCTTTTAGGAGAGGCGGCGGATATGTCTGCGCGAAGCAGCAGCGCCTTAGGCGGCGGTAGTAGTGATATCGCTGACAGCGGAGGTACTCGTGGGGGAGGCGGAGGCGGAAGCGGAATCGGAAGCGGCGGAGGCCGGGTTCCGGTGTTCACGCGCTCGCTGTCCACCAACTCCCCGACGTTGTCGCCCGTCCACCCCTCGTACTCCGCCGGAAATCCCGCTCCCAGTTACCCCCCTCCTTCCTCCACCGTTTCCCCGCCTTTACCCGTGGCTCCTTCCGCCAATGCTCCGCCGTCTGGCGCGCTCCCTGGGCCCGCGCTCCCCCCGCTGTCGTCGTCACACGCGAGCATGTTTGTGGGGCAATCGCGCGCCATGATGATGCTGCTGGACCGTTGGACGGGCCGCGTCGTACAGGTGCGGCTCGCCTCGTCGCTTTGTGCTTTGTGTGTTTACCACGTGTCGCGTGTGTGTGGAACACGTGGTGACGGTAGGTTGATCGGAAACTGGCAGGCAAGAAAGGAGAATGAGTAAGGGACGATAACGAATGCTAGAGGAGAATTTGTTGCTTGCTTGCACTGCATGCATACAGACAAGGTAATAGACTGAGATCATAAGGAGCAAACCCACCACTTTTTTCATCTGCTTCTGCTCTTGTCATACATCCTTCTTCCCCATTCACCGATGCACTTCCCACTCCGCCGCTCCCTTCCGTCACGTCCCGTTTACAACTCCCCTTCTTCCTCTTCCCTTCCTTGTTCCCTCTCCGCTCGCCCCCCGCGCGTCCCCGGGTGCCCCTCGCTCGTTCCCCGCGCGTGCGCGCGCGTGTCCCCGCACGTTCCGCGCATCCCTCATACACATACTCCCCTCCGCAGGCGAGCGGGTCGGCGGTGGCAGCGGTGGGCCTGAGCCGTGAGCAGCTGGCGGACGTGTCGCTGCTGGATGTGGCGCAGGGCGTGCGCATGGCGCAGTGGCGCTCCGCCGTCGCGGACGTGTTCGCGGGGGGCGAGGGGGCCACCGCTGTGCTGCGGTGAGGGGAGGGTTTTGGTGGGGGGAGTGGGGAGGGGTGGGTTAGGGAGGGGGGCGAAGAGAAGATACTGCTTTTCTGGGGGGAGGGTAGGAAGGACAGGAGAAAGGGGGGGAATAGGGGGACGTTGATGAGTAAATGGAGAGGATGAGATGAGGTATGGGAGGAGAATGCATGGGGCAAAAAGGGTGGGGAGTGAGGGAGTGAGATAGGGGGAGGATGGATGGGAAAGGGGTGGGTGAGATTGAGGGTTGGGTGGTTAAGTTGGGGGAAGAGGGAGTAGGTGAGGAAGCACCTGTAGCTTTGGGGGGACACAAAGCTGTGCGATGCAAGTTGCAGTGACCAGTATGCCATGCACAAGGTAAACCAGGAACTACGGTTTGAGTTGGAAAGAAAAGAAAAGAAAAGGAAAGGAATTACCTTGCCACGGCGACACCATCACTAATTCAATGTTACTGAGCGGCTTTTGAGCGAGAGGCAGTCACTGAGCGGATGTCTGCATTTCGTGCCGTCGTTTTTCGCGGAAACAATCAAACCCCCCTCCTCCCCTTCCTCCCCCTCCTTTGCTTTTGTCCCACCCTCCCTCCTGCAACACAACACCTCACCACATGTCTCACACTCCCTCTCACTCTTCTCAGAACCTCATCTCAATCATTCTCTTCCCCTCCAGCTGCCCTTGCCTTTCTCAACCAATCCGTCCTGCTGCTATCAATGCTGTGACAGGTCCAGGCAAGTAAGACCAAAACCAGCAGCCGACTATCAATTGGCCCATACCCTAGACTCACCCACCCTCCCTCCTTGCAGCTCGTGGAGAAGAATGTCTCACAGCTGTAGCACCCACAGGACCACAGGTGACAGGTCCGCTGGTTCAAGTGCATGCATGCATGCATGCATCTGCAAGTACACTACCTCAACCAATCCCCGATTTCCTGCTCGTGCCGTCCCTTCCGCTCCCCACCCGCTCTACAGCTTCTCCCTGCCGGAGTCCCTGAGGGGAAATCTAGCGGGCTACAGTGTGGACCTCACGCTACAGCCCTGCCGCCCCGTGCCCGACCCAAGAGCTGTCGTCGGCACACTCGCACTCGTCCGCTCCTTCCCTGCTGGCAGTGCTGCTGCTGCTGCCGGTGCTGGTGGTGGGTCTGGGGCTGGTGCTGGTGCTCGCCTTCCTGTGCCTTCATCTGCCGCTCGCGCCGGTGGCAGCAGCATGGGTGGAGGTGGTCCCGGTCCCCTGCCGTGTTCTGTCAGTGTGGACACTGCTGCTTCTCTTGCTGCCATAGCGAACCGCCACGCCGCCGGCACCATCCCGACCAGCATCAGCGCCACATCAGACGATAACGAGGACGGCGACGCCATTTCTTCCTCCTCTGCTTCTGCTGCCGCCGCTGCTGCTGATGGTGGTGGTGGTGGTGCTTCGGTGGGTGGGTCAAAGAAGCTCATGCGGAAATTCGCCTCGCTGCTCTCCGCAGGAGGGAAGGCCCCGTCTCGCCTAGCCTCGTCCCCAGGCTCGGATAGCGGAGGCTCGGCGCCGCTGTCGCTTGTGATCGCCGACCCTACCTCGTTTGACAGTGGTCCGGATAGTGGGGGCAGCAGCAAGGGAGGGGACAGTGAGGCTGGGGGTGCTGCTGCTGCTGCTGGGGGTGGGGGAGGAGGAGGGAAAGAAGGAGGGAAAGAAGGAGGAGGGTGGTGGGAGCGGCATGGGTTCGAAGTGCAGACACCCGGAAGGCGGTTGATTCGGCGGTGGGGGTCAGTGGGAGGCTTTGGGGAGAAGGGAGGATCGTCAGGAAGGGACGCCTCAACCCCCTCCTCCTCCTCACACTACTCTATCTTCTCCAATCGCCCTCCTCCAGGGGAGAAGCAGAGGGGCGGAGGTGCGGGAGGAGTGGGAGGAGTAGGAGGAGTAGGAGGAGAAGGAGGGGGAGCATCTCCTGTACACGCACCTCTCCCTGTCCCTGCCCCTGCCCCTGTCCCCGCGCCCGTCCCTGCTCCTATTCCTGTACCTCTCCCTGTGCCTGCCCCTGCTGGTGTCCCCATGCCTGCACCTGTCCCCGCTGTTCCTGCTCCTGCTGCTGGGGGGCTGTTCCCTAGGCGCCGCCGCTCTCACTCCAGAGGAGCGTCCCTCTCTGATTCTGAGGGGTCTCGCCTCATGCAGGTGTCGTTTGGGCCTGGGTATGACAAGGGGGGGGGTGCAGGGGGAGGGGGAGCGGGAGGGGGAGCGGGAGGGGGCGGAGATTGGAGAGCAACAGCGGCTGCAGCAGTTGCTGCTGTTGAAAGTGCTGCTAGTAGCAAATGGCAGGAGGAGGAAGGCGACGGTTCCCCTGTACGTAGCAAGAGTCAGGGTGCGAGTGGGATGGCAGCAGGAGGAGTAGGGGCAAGAGCAGGGGTAGCAGTAGTAGGAAGAGACGACTCGCCTGTACGCCTGAGTCTCCCTCCTTCCTTCGTCAGGCGCAGCAGCAGCACAGGCAGCACGTCAGCCCCGCCTCTTTCGCTCCCCCACGGCCCCCCTGCTCTCCCCCACGGCCCCCCTTCCCTGAAGAACTCGCTGAGCCTTGTTATCCCCACAGAGGGGGATGATGAATCGGGCGGTGGGGGAGAGGATGAGGGGAGCGACTTGGGGGAGAGTGTTGGAGAGGCTGGGGATGGAGGGGACGGGACGCCGGGGGAGTATGGGTCGGAAGGAGGTGGGGGAGGGGGTGCAAGAGGATTGGGCTTCAAGCCTCCGTTAGCGGTGGGAGGTATGGGCGGGACAGGCGCGGGAGCAGCAGCGGGTGTGGGTATGGGGGTTGTTGGAGGAGGTGTGGGAGGAGGTGTGGGGGAGCGGTCAGGGAGGCCTGCAAGGAGGCGGTTCATGGAGGTGCAGACGCCAGGGCGGGCCATGTGGCGGTCGTCTAGCTTCAAGAGCGGGCGCGACAGGGAGAAGGACGAAGCCGCACTGACATCCTTGGCTCTGGCGGAACAGGGGGAGGGGGAGGTGGTGACGGCGGGGGATCTGATTCATGGGACGTCTGCGCCTAGCAGTCCCAGGGCCACCAGCAAGGTGGTGAGTCTGGCGGGGGGCCAAGTGTGGGGCGCTGCTGTGGCTGTGGGTAGGAGCAGCAGCAGTGGCGGGGAGGGGACTGGCACGAGTAGCGGCGGTGGCAGTGCTGGTGGTGCTGGTGGTGGTGGTGGTGCTGCTGCTGGTGGTGGTGGTTTTGGTGATGCTGGTGTCAGGCTGAAAGGAGTTCGAGGGTCCGACAAGGAGCGAGCGCGGCGAGGGAAGAAGGGAGGGCTTGCGGAGGAATGGGCCGATCTGGGAGGAGGAGGAGGCGGAGGAGGAGGTTTGAAGGGATTGGGGAGCAAAGGGGTAGGCGGAGCGCGGTGGCTGGCCCCTATGAACGCACTCTTTTCCAACAAGAGCAGCAGCAGCGAGAGCAGCAAGGGGGCAGGAGGGTTCCCCGGGATGCCCAAGCCAAAGAAGCTGATCAAGGGCAACTGGGACATGTGGGTGTGCGAGGGGTGGGACAGCATTGCTGCTGGAGACATTGATCTTTCCCAGCCTCCAGGGGCAGCAGGGCCAGGCGGAGCAGCAGCAGCAGCAGGAGGGGGAGGAGGAGGAGACGGGGGTGGTGGACTTGGACCAACAGCAGGGGGGGGAGCAGGGGGAGCAGGGGGAGCAGGGGGAGGGGGAGAGGGCAAGAAGCACAGTTTCGCGGCGTTTGTGCCGCGGCTGCACGTGTCTGGAGGGTTGGATGAGCCGGTCCGGAGCAGGAGCGTGGGGCGCAGTGGGCTGCGGCCTGAGGTTGTCACCCCTGGGCCCAGGGCCAAGGGGAGGGGCCTGTGGGGCTCTGAGAGGGGCGCAGGCGCTGCTGCTGCTGCTGCTGCTGCTGCTGCTGCCGCTAATGCTGTTGCTTCTTCTTCTTCTGCTGGAGATCTCTTGCCTGCTGGTATTTCTGCTGGTGGTGCTTCTGCTGCTGCTGCTGGCGCTGCTGCCGCTGCTGGTGCTGGTGCAGAAGCAGGGGCGGATCGGAGGAGGATGCTGATGAAGCTGCGATCCGGTCGCAGGGGGGGGTCCCGTGGGGAGATGGATTATGCGGCAATGAACCTGCGTGCTGCTCTTGATGGGGACGCGGGCGATGGTGAAGGAAGGGCAGGCGAGGGGAAGAATGGTGAGGTGAAGGTGGCGGAGAGCAGGAGCAGCGAGGGGAGTAAGGTTGCAGGGGAGGGGGCAGGAGAGGGAGTGAGGGAGGGCGACGGGGAGGGGAGTGGTGGGAAGGGCAGGGAGGGCAGGGAGGGCAAGGAAGGCAGGGGGGACAAGGAGGGGGTGACGGGGATTGAGAAGCTGGAGCCTCGGAGAATGCTGATGCGCCTACGGTCTGGCAGGAGGAGTGGTTCCCGGGGAGACCTGGACTTTGGTGCTCTGGGTAGATCAACCGGGGCAGGGGGGTTGGGGGCAGGAGGATTGGGCCCAGGGGGATTGGGCGGTGGAACGGTGGGGCCAGGAGGGGTGTCCGGAGGAGGAGGGGGAGGAGGGCGCGGGGGAATGGGAGAAGCAGGTGGGGCTGGGGAGGGAACGAATGAGGAGAGTGGCAAGGGCAGTGGAAACAGTGTGTCTGGGGGAGATGGTGTGGGAGAGACAGGTGAGAGCCATCCAGACGCTGTTGGTGCTGCCAGTGGTTTCGCTGGTGCTGCTGTTGCTGCTGGTACTGCTGGTACCGCTGGTGCTGCTGGTGCAGGTGAGCGTGGGCTAGCGAAGGGAGCAGACGAGGGAGAGAGGGACAACGATACCGCTGGCAAGGTGGTGGTGGTGGTGGAGAGGCCTGATCCACGGAGGATGCTGATGAAGCTGCGGTCTGGGCGGCGGGAGGATCTGGCTGATAGCGCTGTGACGTGCGTGGGAAGTGAGGAGGGCGGGGTGCGGGGAGGCACGGGTGATGAGGCAGGGAAGGGAGGGAGGGGAGGTGAGAATGGGCTGTTTGGAGGGAGTGATGAGGGGAAGGAAGAGGGGGAGCGGAAGGGGTCTGCTGATGTAGGAGGTGCCGAGGCAGCAGCAGCTGCAGCAGCAGGAGGAGGAGGAGTAGGAGTAGGAGTGGCACCACCAGCAGCAGTGCCGGCAGCAGCAGCGAGGCCTGTACGCGGGCCGATGTTAATGAAAATGAAGTCTGGGAGGAGGGAAGACATCTGGGATGGGCGGGACGCTGAGGCAGCGAAGGATAAGGAGAGGGAGAGGGGTGAGGAGGGAGATGGGAAGGCGGCGAGTGGTGCACCGATGGAGGGGAGGTTGGTAGATATGGGGGGGGAAGGCAGAGGTGAGAATGCAAGGAATGAGAGGGGCGAAGCAGGCTTGGTTGTGGGGAGCGACGAGAATGCTGATGCAACCGCGGTGGTGCTTGCTGTGGGGAGGGGGGAGGCGGATGAAGCGAGCCAGCTGGCAGAGGAAAAGGCAAAGGTAAAGGCAGAGGCAGAAGTAAAGGCAAAGGCAGAGGCAGAACGAGAGGCAGAGGATAAAAGGATGCAAGAGCAAGCGAGGGAGGAGGCGGTTAGGCGAGAGCTGCAGCAATTGGAAGAGGAAATGGCAGCACTAGAGTGCATGCTGGGTGGTCTGAGGAGTGTGCAGGAGCAGACGAATGCCCTGGAGAAGGAGGGCACGCATGGGGATCAGGAGGAGGAGGAGGAGGAGGAGGAGGAGGAGGAGGAGGAGGAGGAGGAGGAGGAGGAGGAGGAGGAGGAGGAGGAGAAGGAGGAGGAGGAGGAGAAGGAGAAGAGAGCGGGGAGCAGTGAGGAGAAGGAAGGGAAGGACAAGGAGAAGGAAGGGAACGAGGAGAATGGTGGTGGGGGGAGTGAGGAGGAGGATGGTAGCGTAGTGGAGCATGGGAGTGAAGGCAAGGAGGAGGGTGATGTGGCCGTGATGGCTGATGTGGAAGGGGGGGAGGGGCAAGGGGAGGTGGAGGATAGGGTGGCAGTAGATGCACATGACCATGCCCATGACCATGCCCATGGACACATGGGGAACTGGTGTGGTGCTGATGCTGCTGCTGCTGCTGTGTGTGCCAAGTGCGCTGGCGCTGCTGAGTCGTGGTTCAGGTAAAAGCCCTTCTCTATCCCAGACTCCCAACTTTCCCACTCCTCCTCATCCCTTCACCCCCCCTTCCTCCCCCTCCCCCTCCCCCTCCCCCTCCCACCCCCCGCGCTCTCCTCCCCTTGCTCCTGTGTGTCCATCTGGTTACCCAGCGCTCAGCTTGCCACTGCTCGACTCGAATCCCCATTCCGCCATCTTTGTATCCACTCTTGATCTGCGTCCCTCTGTCTATCTCCCTCTCTCTCTTCCTCCCCCTTCCCCACCACCGCTTCCCTCGTAAACCCCCCCATCCAATCCCACAACCCCCCACACCCTCCCCCCCACAGCAACCTGCTCTCGCAGGCATCTCTGGGCTTCGCTGTTCTGCAGGCCCCCTCTGGGCGCCTACTGCTGACCAACCCTGCCCTGCCCCTCCTGCTGGGCCTGCCCCCTTCCGCTCTTGCCCCCGGCACGTGCCTCCCTGCGCCTCTTCCCGAGACGCAAAGAGCTGCTGTTCAGGTAAGGATGATTGTGACGGGGAAGCGGGGGGGATGGGAAAGGGGGAGGAGAAGCTGGGGTTAAGGGGTGAGGTTGAAGGGGAGGGCGATGGAGAGAGGGTGTGGTGTTTGTGTGGGTGTGTGGGTGGGCGTGCGCACAAGCAAGCGAAAAACATGCACATTTATTTCACTGTTTAGATCCTGTTGTCTGATTCCCTCGTCGCTTCCATACGTCTCTGTTTTCCTCACCTGGAACCTATACCCTCTGAAATTTTACCAGGCATGGCTGCAACAGGCTTCTGCAGGCGTCGCAAGTGCCCCTCTTTCTCTCTGCATCAACACACCTCCAGTGCACACCGACGCACAAGAGCCCCCCGTTTCAACAGTAACTCTCCTCTCCGCTCCACACCTCCTTCCCCCATCAGCTACTCAGTCCCCTCTTCTGACCGTTCTTGTAATGAAGGGCGTTGTGTGAGTCCATTGGCTCTTGCTTGTAGCTGAGCGTAGGGGGGCCCTCAGAGGCCCGTGTAAGTACCGTATGATTCTGCTGCATGTGGATTGACATTGGGTTGGGTTGAAGACTCTATTAGGTCCTTCAGACAGTGAGTAGGTAGAGGTAGGAAATTGCATTTATCATGCTTCATGTGCTGCTCGTGGGTGGGGCATAATCATTGTGAATTGGGAACGGATTCAAGGACCTGATGTGCTGTAGTTAAGGTTCGGTATATGTTATGTTATGTAGCACTGGCCTAAAATGCAGGTTATATAAGTAAGTGTGCTAGCGTAACTTGTTGGAAATGCATTGTGCTTCATTACTGAAAGGAAAATCCCTTTTCCTTACTTCTCATCCCTGCTCAATGCGTACATCACTGTAGCACCACAGTCAGCACCGTTACCACTCGCAACCCTCATATCGACAATCTGCCCGCCACCTTCGTACGTCGCACCCCGACCTCACGGCTCGGCGGGTAACCCGCGCTCTGGGCCTCCGCTTCGACACTTTTCCCCAACCTCAGTCCCAGGCCCGTCGCGCGACAACCACAGTCCATTACCGTTACAACTGTAGTTTCGCTATATATTCTTCGCTCATGCCTTCGCTCATTGTACTCTTGCTTCGATAGTGCAATTCTCGTTCGTTCACTCAATTGCACTCGTAACACTTGGTATTCAGAGCCTACGATCTCTTCTCGGACCGCACCCACACCTTCGCTTCCCCACTATCTCAATTTTTTGGGGGGGGTAGACGTCTCTCAGCGATACAGCACCGCCACTCGTAGTGCTCTCTCTTAAGCACGCACGGCCACGACTGAGGCTCTCGCTGAGCTCGCCCGACACCCCCGCCATGGCCGAATTCACGCTCGCCACATTGACGCAGGAGCAGCTCGACCGTCTGGTGCGCCAACTTGAAGATTCGGCGCTCGAAATTGCGACGCTCACGGCAGAACGTGACTCCGCGCATCAGCAATCAACGATGAACACTCCAGCCCCACCACACGCACCGATAAATGCATCTGCACAATCAGACAAGCCGATCGTCATCTCGTCCGGCACACCAACACAAAACAACGGCGTGGGACAGCGCTCAGGCACAGCCAGCGATGGCGCCGCCCAGCCGATGCCTGGCATGGGAGGAAACAGGGTCGCACAAAGCCTGCGGGAGCCTCGCGAAGCCCGTCGGCACGTGGAGTTCGCGGCGACAAGTAGCGAACAGGCCATCATGGCACCAATGCCACTCAAGCCGCAACGCCCGCCCTGCTTCGACCCGAGCCAGCGTGGAGGTCCGACGGTTCAATCGTGGGTCTTCACGATGAACGTCTTCTTCGAGGCGAATTACGTCGAGTCGGACGCAGCGAAGATTCGGTATGCAGTTTCGCTGCTAAGGGGCCCCGCCATGGACTGGTGGCAAGTCATCGTGACGTCGCCACGCGCCTACGAGCCACCGTTGCAAGAGGAAGGGCCCACGGGTCCAGCTGTCACCTGGAGTTCATTCTGCGAGACCGCCCAATACAGCACGTGGGATGCGTGGTGCGCAGGGCTTCGGGCGCGCTTCGAGCCGATCGCGACTTCTATTTCGGCGCGGCAGAGATTGCGCACTTGGCGGCAGCTCGGATCGGTTCAAGACTATACGAGTGGTTTTCTCGCATTATGCGAGCAAGTCGGCTACATGCACGAAGCAGAGCAGAAGGACAGTTACGTCGGAGGGCTGAAGCCGGACATCTCGCACGAAATCATGCTACGCGGGCTCTCGAACTTCAACGAGATTCTCGCGCTCGCTGAGAAAATCGACATTTTACGCCGTCACAGTACCGATTCACGCCATCGATCGGGCTTGGAAGAATAAGGAGGGTACAACGACGGATTGCCCAGTACCGATCCACGGGAAAATACAGGGAGCAGCAGTGAAGATTTTTATCGACGGAGGAGCAAGCCACAGTTTAGTTAATACCGCAACTGCACGAAAACTGTAGCTGACACTTAGCCGTTGCTTACCGGAGATAGACGCACGCTTGGTCGACGGCACGCCACTGGCCACACGAGTAAAGGTAGAGAGAGTCAAAATCCGCTGCGGGGGAAAATTCGGGTTTACACAGGAAATGCTCGCAGCGACACCGGATGGGCACGATATTTTACTGGGACGTGATTGGCTGCGACCATATAACCCGCAAATTGACTGGACGACAGGTAGCTGCACCGTGCGAAGTAGTGGTAACTAGGTCGAGCTACCTCGCTGGCAGTCGCCCGAGTCTTCAACGGTACACGTCAATGCCATCACAATGAAACGGGCTGTGAGAAATGAGGAATGATTGCATTGAGCAGCATGACAAGTAGGAAACCCTAAAGTGTTGTACCCCATATGAGCTACCCCACTACAGCCTAAACAGACTATAGCATATAAGTTTGACACACCCCCATAGGCGAAATGGGGGAGAACAAGGGGTCACAAGACCAGTCAAGAGAAGCAAGGCAAGCTCAGGGTGGATCACAACGTCACCACACAATTTGAGCACAAGCACAAGGCCACAAGGCCAGTTCACATGCAGAGTTATACATCAAGATGAACAAGCAAGGCAGTGATCTCAACCTAGCAAGGGTAAGCATGCAAGTGCAGGTATATATAGATCACAGTACAAGCAAAGTCAAGAAGTGAGCAAGTGAGGCCAAGTAGGCACAAGACCTAGCAAAGTACAAAAGCGCTGATGATCACAAGGCGGAAGTGCCTTGGTAAAGATATCAGCAGTGTTGGCCTCAGAGGCCACGTAAGCAAGGCGCAGCTGACAGCGCTGCTGCAGCTCACGAGCAAGGAAGTAGCGAAGAGCAATGTGCTTCGTTCTGTGCTCCAGTCTGTGCTCCCGACACAAGGCCAGCATGGTCTTGTTGTCTACGTACAGAACTGGAGGAGAACGAGGCGGCTCTCCAAGGTCAGTCAGCAGGTAGGTGAGCCAGCGTAGCTCCTGTGCAGCCATAGCCCCTGCGTAGATCTCAGCCTCACAGCTGGAGCCGAGAACAGAAGACGAACGGGTAGACCGCCACGAGATAGAGCCGGAACCAAGGCTGAAGGTGTAACCCTGTGACGACCGCTGCGTAGCCTGGTCGTGAGCCCAAGAAGCGTCTGCGTGACCTGTGAGGACCACTGGACGTCGCCCTCCAAGCACTAGCCCCATGCCCGACGTGCTGCACAAGTAGCGCAACACCCTCTTCGCTGCAGCCATGTGCTCTGGTCGGTGTCTCCCAGGAGCAACATAGCGTGCCAAGATGCTAAGAGGGTATGCTAGGTCAGGTCGTGTGCAGGTCATCAGGTACATGAGGCAGCCAACAAGCTCTGGGTACGGGCCACTCGGCTCTACGGACTCATCCGAAGGCAGAGCTGAGAGCGAGTGGCGAGTAGACAGAGGAGTGGCCTGAGGCGAGGAGTACGTGAAGTCGAAGCGCTGAAGGACCTGCTGCACCATGTGTGACTGAGTCAGGGTAATGGTGCGCTGTGCTCTGTCCCGGGTGATCTGCAAGCCAAGGTAGCTGCGCAGTTCACCCAGGTCTGTGCACGTGTATCTCTTCTACAGCTCGGACTTCACGTGGGCGAGTCCAGCAGTGTCAGCAGTGGCAAAGACCAAGTCGTCGACGTACACGAGGATGTAGAACGGCGGCAAAGAGGTGTCGGTGCGCAGAAACAGCGACGGGTCGGCAGTAGAAGGAGCAAACCCAAGAGCCGCAAGTGTAGTCCTCAGTGTGTCGTGCCACTCACGGGGCGCCTGGCGGAGACCGTAGACTGGCCGCCGGAGGCTCCACTGGGTACCAGGAGGGAACGACCCAGTGAAGCCAGGTGGGCGGCGCAGCCAGATCTCCTCGTGCAGGCTGCCCTGCAAGAAAGCTGTGCTGAAGTCAAGAGAGTGAAGCTCGTAGTCTCGCTGAGCGGCTATGTGCAGCAGCACCCAAAGAGTGGTCATCTTCGGGGTGGGGGAGAAGGTCTGAAAGTAGTCAACTCCCTGCCGCTGACTGAAGCCTCGAGCCACGTAACGCGCCTTGAAGACAGGCGGAGAACCCGGCGGCCGCTTCACCCTGAAAATCCACATGCCACTGACGATGTTCGCCCCAGGTGGGGGAACCTCGTCGACGTAGGTGCCTGTGGACTTCCAGGAAGCCATCTCTGCGTCCATGGCTGACTTCCACTGTGAGGAGTAGGGACCCTTGATCGCCTCAGCGTACGATCGAGGAGTCGGGATGTCTTGTGCATCCGGGTCTCCCTCAGGGGCAATCAACGTGGACACGAGATGAGGCAAAGCAGCAGCAAAACACTGGAACTCCTCCTGCGTGTCCTCAAGGACGTCCGTGCTAAGAGCACACTCACCCCCGACGGACGGAGGACAGACAGACTCAGACTGAGCAACAAGACTAGCAGCGTAGTCTAGACGAGAGCGAGCAGCAAAGTCGACAAGCTCAGCAACTAAGGCAGACGCAGCAGTGGACTCAAAAGAAGGGTCACTGACAACAGTAGCCAGGAGACGCGTGAAAGTAGGACTGGCAGCACGAAGAGAGTCAGACTTAGGGTCAGCAAGAGTAGGAAGAGAGGACTCTGGAGGAGACGGCAACGGGACACGCAGAGGAGCAGTGGAAGGACGCAGTGCCATCTGGTGTGTGTCGGGGACCGCAGGAGAACGCGGACGCGGAGCACGACCACTAGTGCGAGCAGCACGAACAGGCGACGCAGGACGAGACGCAGGCTCACGACGCTCAGCAAGACCTCCAATAGGACCAGTGTAGGGAGAAGGAGCAGGCAGGGGGGATGCGGGCTGTAACTATGACCGCGACTGGACAAGATGTGGATGTTAATAGGAATGGAGTGTTGGCCCCGCCCTCGCTTGGGCAACGCCGACGATGTGGTCGGATGCACGGGAGTAGCAGCCGACCGTTCACAGTGGGATAGCTGCTCGACAGGTTACGTCGAGCTACAGCGGACCGCTGTGGTGTTGCTGTCGACCA